GCTCCGCCGCTGCCTCGGACCCCGCGCCCGACTCGGGGCCCCACGCGGGCACGAGGCCTCGCGCCCAAGCCGGGCGGCGGGGGCCCTTCCTCCTCCCGCGCGCGAGCCAGTAGCAGAGGGCCACGGGGCCGGGGAGGGCCTCGAGGCCGCCCCCTGACCCCGACCCGCTCCTCCGGAGGCCGCGGAAGCCTCCCCCGCGCCCCGGCCCTGCCCCCGGGCCGTCCTCGCTGCCCACCCGGGCCTGGGCGCCCATGTCTGGCTCCCAGCCGTCCTTGGATAGCCGAGCCCGAGGGGCGGGGAGCCCCTTTGTCCCCACTTTGGGTGTGAGGCCCTCGAGGAGGCCGCCGACGCCCCGATTTGGCCGCCTGCGGCACGCCCTCCACCCCGAGGCTCTAGAGCTGTGGTGGGGGTTGGGGCCTGGGAAGGCTGAGCGGGCCTTCCCCGGGATCCCCCGAGGCGGAGGGCTCTGGGGTAAACCCTCACATCTCCGGCCCTTCCTGGGGGAGGGGATGCGGACTGGGCGGGCCTTTGGAAATGCAGATGAGTCGCCTCCTGCTGCTTGTCGCCCGGGTTGAACCCTGGTGACTCAGCCACCCCCCCTCCTATCCCTTCCAGAGTGAGGGCCGCCTTGGCAGCTGGGAAGGGGGGACGGCATTTGTAAGGCTCCCCTTCCCTCAAAGACATCCTCTCCGGTTTGTGTTCCTCAACTCCCTAACAGACCTTCCGACTTTCCCCCTAGGCTCTTGTCCGGAGAAGGGGCAACCGACCTGGTGCCCCCAGAGTGGACAGTCCTCCTTTGGACAGCCGGAGCAGGCCTAGTATGACTCGGACAATCCTCCCACTAAGGTAGGTGTGAGCCCTTTCCCAGGCTGCGAGGGAGATTTGGGGGGCGTTGGCCTGGAGCCCAGGGAGGGCGGCCACCCCAAACCCGCTAGGCTGGTTCGGCAGCCCCTCCCCCACACAGATGTGTGGGACCGTGTGTGTGAAATCGGCTGCCTGCTGGGCCTGCTCGGTCCATCCATCCCCGCCTGTCAGCTTCTGTTGTCAGGAGTTTGGGGCGTGCAATTCTCGGCCGTATTTAGCAGCATAGGAGAGGCTGCACTTGCAAGTATTTCCCAGTTGTGTGTTTGCTGGTGGGGGGAGGGCTCTGAAAGCCTCTTACTTCTGAAAGGCCCAGGCGGCTGCCAGGAAGTCTGGCCCTCCCTTCCGGCCCCCAGTGGGGACGTGTAGGGTGACTGTATGAGCCGGCCTCTAGTGTCAGGCTGCTAGGGAGGTAAACAGAAGGACCTGAGAACTGGGTCACCTTCCTCTGAGAAAGAGGTTTCTTGATTCGTCTCCCCCTTCTGGGAATTCCCATGATTCCCTCCCCAGCCCCCACCGCAAAAGAGCCCTCTTTCTAGAATCGGACGAATCCGGGTTTGAAACCTGGCTAGCCATTCACCTGCTGTGACTTTGCATAAGCTGCTCAGTCTGAGCCTCTTTCCCCATCTGCACAAATGGGGCTCCCTCAGTGAGTCCCGAACTTGAGTGTGCATCCGAATCATGGGGGCGGGGGGAGGGTGGTAATTGGAACTGATTTTGGGCCCGCTTCTCGAGTTTCTGATTCAGTCGGTGGGGCCTGAGAACTTGTATTTCTAACAGCATCAGCTCACCTGGGAACACATTTTGAGAACCTTTGGGCTTGGCAGCATCTGGGGTGTTGCGAGGAAGATGTAAGCTCACGCACTTGGAGCCCCCAGCTCAGTGCTCGGCACAGAGTTGTTAGCTTGGTGACGATGGCAACTCTCTCCCGTTTCTAACACAAGCTGACTGCGCACAGTTCCATCCTCTTTTGTCTCCAGGAAGCTCCACAGCTGGGGACACTATGGCCCTTGATCTCAGGCCCCTCCCCCTTGTGATCGCTAGTTTGAGATTACTTTGATGAACCATTTGGGTCCAGGTGCTGCTGATCCACAGGGCCCTCCTGATTTGGGCCGCAGCTTGGCTTCCGTGTCGGATCAGCCCTGCCCACTATTACCCCACCCCTCAGTGTGAGGGCTAAACTGACGTTTGGGGGAACCTGTAGAGCTTGACCCAGGCATCTTGGTGCTTAATCAAGGGAGGCTCTAAGTCAGGTGGCCGTGGGCTTGAATCTCGCCGTGCTGGTGAACCTTGGACAAGTCTCCTGTGTGAAATGATAATGATGGATGCTGCAAAGGGTGGAGGGAGGATTAAGTGCGATTAAGGGGGCTGGCCTCACATTCAGGCTTCACACTAGTTGGCTTCCATTCCAGTGTGGCTGCAGGGAGTGGGGGCTGGGCTGTCTTCGAGCTCCTCCCCCACCGGCCCGCCCCCAGCACGTGGCAAAGCCTCAGGGCAAAGGGAACACTGGCTTTCGGCAGGCGGGGAGCCAGCAGTTTTTCCTCCTGTGTAGTTTGAGTTGGGATGGTGGCCTGTCCCCAGCTCCACAGGCTTTTCCATGATGGGCTGTGATTTGGGATCCCCCACCTACCCAGAGAGTAGAAGTGACTCGCCCAAGGTCACAAGGCCACCACCAGCAGCCAGGACAGGGTTCCAGGTGTCTTGACTTCCAGCCCAGCGCCTGTGTCCGTGGCACCCCCTCACCCCAGCTGTCTGGGTTATTTTGGGCTCCTTCCCATGACAGCTGTCTGCTGGCATCACTGCCCGGGAGCTGGGAAAGCTGTCTGGTTGAAAGTAACCAGCATGCTGCTCTGGGCTTCTCCTGGCCATCATGCCTTGCCCCAGTGAGGGTCTCCAATCCCAGATAAGCTGGCTTTGGTCCATCTTGTCCTTTGCTGGGGGGAAGGAGGTGCACCCCACCACACCTGGTACTAGACTCCCTTCCCCCTACACTTTGTAAAAGTGGATGAGACTCACATTATTATTAACAGCTCATAAACCTCTTCCCTCCTTCCACACTGGCCCCAAACCTGAGGTTTAAATTCGGCTCTGCCACTGATGAGCTCATTCGGCCCCCTTGATCCTCACATGACCCTTCTGCCGCCTGAGGGTGTCCTGCGTCCCTTTGAATAGAGTCCTTGGGGCTTCCCAGGGTGGGGGTCTTTACCTCCCATGGGCAAGGGAGGGTGAAATAATTGATTTCAACCTTCCCCTCCTAGCATTGGCCTGGAGGGCTACAGCCAGTTCCTCCACTCCCACCCTCGGACCAGTTAGGGAGCACTTAGGTGCTAAACTGTGGTCTGGGTGTGATTCTTGGAAGGGAGAGGTGTCCCCATGACCTGGAAGGATTATAGTCCCTCCCCACTTCCATTTCTCTTTCACCGCCCCCCCCTTTCTGATTTCTGTGACCACCCCCCTTCCCAGTATCACCTCCTGGGGGCAGGGAGGGGCCGGCCGTGCAGCCTGTCTGTCCTCAGGCTGTTGTCCTTCTGGCGGGCCAAGAAGGTGGCTCCGCCCACCAGTCACCCAGGGAGCATGGGGCGGGGCTGCTCCTGGGGCCAAGCCGGTGGGGCCTGCCTAGAGGGCCACGCCAGCAGAAGGGCAGCCCAAGGCAGGGAGGTGGCTGGACCTGCCTTACTACTGGATGCCAGGGTCCCGCCTCTTCCGGCCCCTCCACCAAGAGCCCCAGCGTGGAATACGACCTTTTGGACCCTCTGGGCGAGATGGAAGGCCTCTGCCTGGACTGTGGAGGCCATCCCAGAGGCCACCTTGGTCCAGTACTGTCTCCAACTGGCCAGTGACCTCAGCACGTCCCCGCCCCTTTGGGAACAGTGGTCTCCCCATGTGAGCTAGGAGGGGGAAGTTGGCCCCAATAATCTTTTGTTTCTGGGTCTGGCTTTGTGAGGGGGGTGCTTTTCATACCCCAGCGGTGACCTCTCCCCCGACCAAGTGCTGAAGCCTGGAGAGAGTCCTCGGGCGAGGGCAGATGGCCTTGACTTCCCAGGCCACCCTCGGCCACCTCCATCTCTGGGACCTCAGAGAATAGCTTAATCTGTGAAGGCTCCATTTCTTCTGTCTTGTCTGGGGTGGATGACCTCTCAGGGTGTCCTGAGACACCAGGGAAGTGGAAGCCATAAGAATTGTCATTAACTTCCCCATCCTAACCTATGCTGGCCGGACTTTGCCCTGACAAGACGGAAGTGATCTGGCCCCTACTCTCCTGGGCTCAGTTGACACAGGCACCCCATGCATGCCACCTGGCCTGCTCCCCTAGGCGTCTGTGTCCCAACAGCTCTGTGGCAAGAACCAGTTTAAAGAATCTTTCTTGCCCTCCTACGTCTCTCCAGGAATTCCTGGTGAACAGAAGACTGACGGTCCTCAGAACATCTCACAGGTAAGGGAGCAGGGCTCCCTGTGTGTGTGGGTGTGCCGGGCTCCTCAGCTGGCCTGCTCTGGCCCAGCCGCCTCTGAGGAAGCTCCAAGCAGCTGGCCTGGCTCCTGAGTATTTTTAGCTACATATCCAGCCCCTACACCACCACTGGAGCTGGGTCCAAATCAAACACACTCCAGGCTGGGTGGGGCTGGGGTTCTGCCAGCCTTGGCCAGGCACGGGTGGGTGGGTGGGCCGGCGGGCTGGGGCTAGCGTCAGCTGTTCTGCTTAGACCCAGGCAGAGCTGGGAAGACTCACTTTTCCTCTTCCTTCCTCCCCTCAGTTTTGTGTAAGTTATTTGTTCTGTCGTGAGTTGACATCGTAGTCCTATTTCTCCAGTGAGTGGAAACTGAGATCTGAGGATTTTGAGGAAAGTCAGGAGCCCTCCCATGGGCTCGTGCAGTTAACCCTGTTTTGGGTGCCACAGTTTGCTCAGAGTGGGGTGACCCTCCTAAGTGAATTCTTCCAGCCCTCTGCCAGATGAAGCAGCCTCTCTCCCACTCCTACTCTCCCAGTCCCTCCCTGAGCTTCAGGGTCAGGGCTGAGGCAGCCAGAGGGGAGAGGCCTGAGGCTGACTGCAAAGGTAAGTTGTCCTCCCCTCACTCAAAACCCTCTTCCATCCTCCCTTTGCCTGAATGACGGTCACCCTGCCCTGGCCTCCTCCCGTGATCCTGGGGAACCTCACTTCTGATATGTCTCTGGACCTGGTCCCCTCCTCTCTTGCCAACCTCAGGCTGCTTCTATGGCAAGATGGCCCCAGCCCCATGCCTGCCTCACCAGCCAGCCAATCACAGCTCCTCTCTGGTCACCAGAGAGAGCTTGAGGTCCTGGCTTTGGCTGGGCTCCTGTTCAGGAGCCTTCTGTCCAGCACCCTGCGTGAGCCTGGCAGCCAGGCCTTCCATGATCTAACCCTGGTTACCTTGACAACCATGTCTGGCCTCCCTCCTCAACCCCACTCCCACTGCCGAACCTGATGGGGTTTTCCAGCCACTGTGCATTTGCCCTGGCTGGGTACCCATCCTACTTCCACCGGCCTGCCCTCCCAGCACTGCCAAGGATAGTTCATGTACCACCCAGAGCTCAACCTTCCCTGAACCCTACAGGGCTCTGCTCTCTGAATTCTTCACATCTCCCAAACTCCTTTAGACTGCTTCCCCCAAGGCTGAGCTCCTCTCAGGCAGGAACACATTTGCCTCTCAATAAACGTGTTACAAAAAGGAATGCATGAGTTGCTGTAAATTTGTCTAGGGGTGCTTCACCCAGCAGATGCCCTCCCGTGACAGGATGGGGCCTCCACCCAAAAGGCTGGAGCTGGGCCCTAGTCCTCTTCCCAGCTCTGGGCTCTTTTGGGGCTTCCACGGGCAGTCGCTGCTGCCCTCTGGTGGTCAGACCCTGCCTTGTATCCACTGAAAATCGACCTGGCATTTGTGGAACTGCCAAGTTGGCAACTTCCTCAAGTAAAGTTTACCTGATCTTTGCTGAGAACTTGAAAATTGGGAATCTTCGGAAGGGGGTGGGGGCAAGAGGATCTTGAGTCCTGCCACCCCTCAGGAAACCACCAGAGGCCTCACCCCAGCTCGGAGGACCCTGCTCTCACTTGGCCGTGCCCCAGTGACTGCCTGTTGTGCACCGGCTCCAGGGTTTCCTCCACCCCTCCTGACCCCTGTCCTGGCTTGTGCAAAGGAGCCCAGGGTCGCGGGAGGGAAGGGATGGAGGGCCAGGGGTGATCTCAATTTGCCCTCCTGATGGTGCCTGTGCTGAGTGAGTACTCAGTAAATAGCTGTTTTGATCACGGGGGTGGGAGGGTTAGGGAGAATCCTTGGGATGAAAGGTGTGGCTGCTGGCCACATAGGACACAAATTTCTGGGTGGGGGTGGGGGCTATGAGTCTCAAGCGGATGGAGGGGGCCCCAGCTGATCTCAACCAGATCCACCCTGGCCTTCCCCGTCCCTTCCTCGACAGTGTCTTGCTCGGTTCACGCTTCTGGCTCCTGCTAGAAAGAGGCTCCCGCCAGCGTGGTTTGGGGCCAACCCTCGAAAGGTTATTGTTCCGAAGCCGCTCACCTCTTCCCCAAGCTGCCCGCGCCGAGGCGATCGCCCGGCAGAGGGCGCTAGACGTCCACCTTGCGTCCCCAGGGAGGTGGGGGCTAGGTAAGCGGAACCGCTATTCCCCACCCTCAACCCGCAGCCACCTAGGCGCCCGAAGGGCCAGACCGGGTGGGCAGACACGACCCCCGTGCCAGCGTCTTCCCTGACACCACCAACCTACCTCCTGTGGGGGAACAGGTCAGAGGCGGGCTTGCCCCAGGCCACGCAGCTGAGGCGGGGCAAAACGGGGGGCTTTTCCCAGAGCTTGAGACCGAGGCTCCTCGAACCCGGGTGCTGGAGGGACAGTCCGCCAATCAAAGAGTCCCTGTCTGATGCGGGAGGCCGAGCCCGCCAATCAGAGGGACCCTGCCAGAAGGCGGAGCCTGCCAGTCAGGGGTGCCGGGCGAGGAGCAGCAGAAACGTTTGGATCTTGCCGGTGGGGGGCGCGCCGTGACGCGCGCGGGAGGGGGTAGGAGCTGCGCTTGCTGTTGAGCACCCCGTTTCTCAGGTGCCTCAGTTTCTCCGGGAATGAGAGGTGAACGCCCCGGGTCGGGGTTCTAGCAGGAAGGAAACTGAGGCTGGGAGGTCGGCCCGGGTGGCTGCCTGGCGGAGGCGGCGCCGGCCCAGAAGGGGGCGGGGCTTCTTCTAGCCGCGCCCCTGGGGCCGCCCCCACCCCGATCCCTCAGCCCCAGCGCTCCGCCGGGCGCGCCACTGCCAGTGCTGCCGGCTCCGGGCTATGGACGCCCCCGGGGCCCCGACCCCGACCGCCGCCCCGGGCCCGGGCCCGGGCAGGAGGGAGCTGAAGATCGTGATCGTGGGCGACGGCGGCTGCGGCAAGACCTCGCTGCTCATGGTGTACAGCCAGGGCTCCTTCCCCGAGGTGAGGCCCGCCGGGGGGCTGGAGGCGGGTAGGCTGGGTGGGGGGGACGGGCTTGGGGCCACCAGGGACGAGGGACGGCCCTCAGCCTGCGGCCCGAGCCCGGACCCTGGGTCCCCAGCTTCCTGCGCGTGGAGAGGCGGCTGCCACCCCGGGGCGCCCCCTCGGGAATTCCAGAGTCCAGCGGGGTGTGGGGGGGCTGAGCCGGATGCGGTGAAGGTGGAGGGGGACGTCCAGCCGGACACTGGTCTTCGCGCCACCCCTTAAGAACCAACGCGACCCCTTCTCCGACAGCACTACGCCCCATCCGTGTTCGAGAAGTACACGGCCAGAGTGACCGTGGGCAGCAAGGAGGTGACCCTGAACCTCTACGACACCGCCGGTGAGTGCGCCTGCGCGCCGAGGGTCCTGGGTCCGCCCGAAGGGTTTCCCCCGCAGGGGCATCCCGCCGGGCATCCCCCCCGCCCGCCAGCCTTTGCGGGGCCCTGACATCGCATCACTGCTGGAGGCCGCGGAGGGGCGCTGGCTGGGGGCCGGTTGACCACTGCCTGGAGGCCGAGAAGGCTGCAGTCGTTCCATCTGTAAAAGGAGGGTATTTGGAGGAGGGAGCGCATGGATCACCCTCCTAGCGTGATGTGCTGAGGGCCCACGGCTTCGTTCCTCTCCTGTAGTTCTAGAAAACCAGGGGCTTTACTTCTGCTTCCCATGGTTCCAGGATTTCGTGCGTTGCATGCTGTGGTCTCTTAAGATTCTGTGGGCTGCAGATTTGAGTCCCCTGGTGCTAGGATTCTGTGGGCTGCATTCCTGGTTCCTACGCTTCTAGAATACTCTGGGCTACAGATCAGAGCTTGTGACTCCAAGACTCTGTGGCCAACATCCTGAGGCTCCAGGGTCCTGTGGACCTAAGCTCTGAGTCCCATGCCTCGGGTTCCACAGGCTACAGTGTGTGATTCTAGAATTCTGTGGTCTACAGTTTTGAGCCTGTGGTTCTAGAATTCCGTGGCTACAGTTCTGTGTCTTCTTGATTCCCTGGGAAGAAACCAGGCACTGAGGACAGAATAGAGCTCTAGGGAACGGAGGTCCAAAATCAGGTCCTCTCTGCCACCTGCAGCTCTGAAAGCAAGTGGACTTACGCTCATTAACTGCATCAGTGATCACGGTCCCTGTCGCTGGGGCATGGGTGGAGATGCACTGCTACCGGGGGGATTTGGGTAACACCTGGGGGGGATGCCCTCAGGGAGCTTCCATCCTGCCTTGGCTCCCCTCTGAGCTGATCAGTATTGGGGGGCAAAGGTCAAGATCCCCAGCTGGGGCCTCACCCAGCCTCTGTGATTCAGTGTTTAGTGACCTGTGTGGAACCATGTCACGAGGTTCCCTTGCCAGCCAAGCCTTGTATATATGAGGTGAAGTCTGCGACTGGCCTTGGATGGAGCCAAAACCCAGCCCCCCCCCCCCACCAAGGCTGCCACCAGCGTCTCTCCTTCCATCCTGGAGCGGATCAGAAAAGGGTCTGTCCCAGCCCCAGACCCTTCCTCTATTCCTGACTTCGGCAGGTTTTGCTGTATAGATGTGTCCTCTCCTGCGGTGGCCTCTGAGGACCTGCCTTTTGTTGGATGAGGGCCCTGCAGGGCTGCCCCCAGAACAGGGCCATGCCTCCAGCCCCGTGAACTGGGAAAGCCAAAGGCTTCTGAGGAGTTCCCAAGGGCGTGGCCACAAAAGCAGTAAAAATTGTGGTATGCCTGGGACACTTTTAGTTTCATATGTTTCCAGTCCGGGAGCCAGGGAGGGGCAGGATCATTAGCCCCACTTTGTGGGTGAAGGGCTGATGGGCAGGGAGAGCCAGAGGAGCGTTTTCACTTTCTCCTCCTTCCTCTGACCTCAGGGCCTCTACTATCAGATCCCTGGAGTTTACTGTTCGTGGCAGCCTCCTCCATCAGACCCAGGGCAGGAACCACTTCTGGTCTTTCTGGCCTCGCCCAGAGAAAGATGCTCAAAGAACATGGCAGGGTAGATTGTCGCGTGGAGGTTCCAGAAAGCTTCTACTTGGTTTAAGGAAGGATTTGTGCTAAGAGCTGCTGTGGGAGGGATGGAGGGAGCCCCATCCCTAGAGTCATCAGAAGCACGTGACCACCCAAGACAATGATGATCCCGTCCACGACTTCCTGCCACGTGCTTTGGAGTCAGACCTGGGCTTTGATGCTGGGTCCCCTGGCTGGGTGTCATTGGGGACGTCTGGGCCTCAGTTTCCTCATCTGTAATCAGGGCTACAATAGTTGTGAGGATTAAATCAGATCTATGCGACATGCAGCACTTAGCACAGGGGTTTAGCTCTCCGGAAGGGCTCACTAAGAGTTGTCATTGTGATTTTCACCTCCCCCCCCGCCCCCCGCCCCGCCAGCCATTCAGCCCCAGGCCTGAGCCTGAGCCTGAGCCTCTCGTGGATCCGTGGTAGCAGAGCTCGTGCTGGCCCCCACCCCTGCTCTCCCAGCAGGAGTCTTCCAAGTGGCAGAAAAGCAGAGCTGGGCTTTGAACCTCTCAGTGGAGTCCCAGGGGAGTAGACTGGCCCCGCCCCCCCCGCCCCAGTCAGCAGGACAGCCCAAGGAGGAAGACACAGGGCTGCTCCGTCCTCAAGGGTGTCCCACTGTGACCCAGGAAGCCCCGTCATCGGGGGGAGCGTGAAGGAGAGACTAGGTCATTCCTCTTACATACGCCAGTGCCCAGCACGGTGCTTGTCCTAGAGCGAGGCTTATAGAATGAAGAATAAATCTGGATGCAGAGACGCCCCTGCAGAAGGTCCTGTGTGATAAAGGCAATGAGATCTGTCTCCACCTGTGGGGTGGACGGATATCAGGAGAATGTGGCAGAAAAGGATGGCCAGGTGACCAACTAGAGAAAGATAGAGACTAAGGGGGTGAGGGGAGTGGCCGACCTGGAGACGAGCCTTGTAAAGGTTGTTGCAGAAGGTTCTAGAACCTGATGGGCTAGACTCCGTGGTGGGGGAGGAGGGGTGGGCAGGGCATCATCTTTCCAACCAACCTGTGATAACCAGAGCTCTGGGACAAGGGTGGCCCCTGGGAGGCTGAATTTCTTCACACCCAGGGCCTCCACCACAGGGGTCCACGTGGGAGGCCAGTCTGGCTGCTGTCTCCATCCCGCGGAAGCAGTTACAGACGCTGCGGTGTTGGGAGGGTGGGAGGAGGCTGACAGAGCTCTTGGTGCTCAAAGGTGAAGGGGTTGGGGCTGTGAGCACACATTGCCCTAGCAGCCTCGCCCGCCGGGCCTGACACCCTCAGAAGGCAGGAAGCTGTGGTGAGGTCTGAAGTTTCCTGGACAGGGGGGAGGTGGGGGCGAGGTGGGACGTTAAGACACCACCCAGAGACAGAGCTGTCTGGGCCTTGGGGTGGGGCCCAGGGGTGGGGCATCACAGGATGGGGTAGGGGTTGCCCAGGGAGATGGGGAGCTGTGGTCCCTTTCCCAGCTTAAGATGGAAACAACAGGAAAAGTGGGGGCGCAAAGCAGTTGCTAAGACAAGGAATCAGGGGCCAGAGGGGTGTCTAGGGGCCAGGAGCACTGGAAGCCTGGGGAGCCGGAGCTGCGGGTGGGTCAGAACGCGCTCTCGGCTCCAGACCGGGGCTGCCCCTGCCCCAGCCCCTCCTTCCTCGGGGGAAGGAAATGCAGGTGGGTGGACCCCAGTAGTGCTAGTAAAAGTGGGTTCCTCTTCCAGCAGCTTCTCCTTCTCACGCTGCCGGCACCCCTCCCCTGACCCACGCCCTGGCCGAAGCTGGGAACCGTCTGCCCTATGTATGTCCTCCAGCAGATTTGGGGACCACTGTGGGCCACACCCTCTCTCCTCAACCCAACACTGGGCCTTAGAGACCCCTCGTCCCAGAAGGATGACTGCCCCGGCGAAGCTCCTCCCCACAAAGGAAATACCCTGGCGGGAGGCAAAAGCCTCACTTCCTCCCACCCGACAGCACCCCCAACCTCAAGGAGATGAGTAGCTTCAAGGGAAGAAGACCTGTCCTGGCCAGAAACAAATGCCTTTGCACGTAACTCTGGGGCTTTCTTAACCTCTCAAGCCCATCTGCAGAGGCCAGAAGGGGACTCCTGTGTGCCTCTGGGCAGGTGGCTCGGCTCCTTTAAGCCTTGGCATCGCTGTGGGTAAATCGGGAGGTATCTCCTGATGGCGGGGAGGCCCCCAAAGCTTGTGGGTCCAAAGATCCGGGGTTAGAACCCCCACCAGGCCCCTGTCATTTGGAAGTTTCTCTTTCAGTCATAACCACAGGAGTCATCCCTCACCTTTGTTCAGCGTTTCTCAGCCTACAAGTCCTTTACTTTCAGTATCAGGGCAGGGTTATCACCCCCTTTTCCATATACGGAAACTGAGGACCAGAGAGGGAAAGGACCAAGGTCATGGAACGTGAGTCCAAGTGGAGCCTGGCTCTCCTGACTCATACGGGACAGGTATCTAGGACACTCCCCTCCCAGGGAAACATGAGGTTAACAGCACCCGGAAGTCCATCATCTGCGGGCCTGGTCCCCAAGTGGAGGCCCACACTAAATCCTGGAGAAAGCTGAGCCAGGAACATTGAAGCCAGGAAGGCAACCTGGAGGAGGAGCTGGGATGGAGCTGGACCTAGCCTCTCCCAGAGTCCCTCTGTCTTGAGATGCCTGTGTTGGCAGCCTTTTCCTCACTTGGTCAGGTCTGATGCTTGTAGGGTGAGGACAGCTCCCTACCCTCTGGGGTGGACTGAGAGAGAGGCAGCCCAGTAGTCCTACCTATGGTCTTCTGTCATTTACAAAGCTTCCCCTTAGCTGTGTGACCTTGATCAAGTCACTTCACCTCTCTGTGCTTCAGTTTCTGCATCAGTAAGATGGCAATAACAGTAGTCCTACCTTGTAGAGTTGTAGTGAGGAATGAATTAATGCAGGGAAAGGGCTTCGAATGGGGCCTGACAGATGATGAGTGAGCATTCTTCCATAAATATTGTCGACATTAACCATTTTTATTATTATTGTCATCAAAGCTCACTTGCTTCTCACATATCCATTTCACAGATGAGGAAACTGAGGTTCAGAAGTTAACTCCCAATTGGGAAGGCTGGGGAAGGCTTCCTGGGAGAAGTGGTGCTTTCAGAGTGGCCTGGCAGGCAGCCGACCTTGGAGGTGGGGACTGAGTTGGCACTCCAGCTCACAGGGAGCCTGTCTGTGACCTTGAAAAAGGCCTCTTCGGCCACGTGGGCTCTTAACAGGAAGAACTTTCCCCGCCCAGCTTCCCTCCCGGGTAGCTCCTTGAATTAAAACAGGGGATGGAAGTGAGGTGCTCTTCAAAGGCTGAAAGCCATACAGATGATTGTCCCACCTTCTCCACCCACTCATTGGTCTGTTCACTCACCAGACTTCACTGAGCCTGCCCGTGTCCCAGGGGATACACTGTGTCCCGAGGACAGAGACGCCCATGTCCTCGGGGCACGCGTGCTCATGGGGGAGACAGAAGAAAACCCAGAAAGGTATCGTGAGATCAGGTAGTGTATGTGCTATGAAGAATAAAGCCTTGGTCAGTCGTGGGACAGACGGCGAAGGAGACCATTGTTTCAGAGCAATCAGGAAAGTTCTCTTGGAGGAGGTGACATTTCTGCAGAGACCTGAAGGAAGGAGGGAGCCAGCTGTGCTGCTACATGGGGAGGAGCCTTCTAGAAGAGGGAACAGCAAGGGCAGAGGCACTGAGGGAGAGCAGGGTTGGTCTGACTTCCTCCTGCAACCCGCTGCAGCCTGACTTCTGCTCTTGTCACCTCTGCTGAAATCCTCACAGGCTGTCATTGCTAAACCCAGCGGCACAACTCAGCCGTCGTCTCTGCTGCATCTCACAAAAGCTCAACAACTTCAACAACCAGCCAGTATTGACCAGACGCCTCCCGGGTGCCAGGAATTATTTCTAAGGACAGACATGGTCCCTGCCCTCAGGGTACTTACAGGCCTCGGGCAGTAAACAGGTCAATGGATGAGTACAGACTGTGGACAAACGGGGGGTGGACTACACGGGGTGAGGGAAGGCCTCTCTGAGGAATCAGCTGGGCAAGATGAGGGAAGACATCGGAGCACAGCAGGCCCATTTTACTACTGCTCATCTACTCCTGCTGTATTTCTAAAAGGGAATGAGAATGTATGCTAGAATTATGATCCACATCATTGCATCGAAGAAGCCTGGAACCTATTTTTGCACAAAACAAAGCAGAACAGAGCACTGCTGTGTCAACTTGGAATTTAATGAACTGGGGTTGAGTCCTGGCTCAGTCACTGATTCAGTGACCTCAGGTGGGTCCCCTCACTTCCCTGAAATTCACTTTCTTCATATGTAAATGGGAGTATTCATAAGTTCCCTGACTGGCATGTCAGGTGGTAGTTGTAAGGATTTCTTTTTTTTTTTGGTGAGGAAGAGTTGCCCTGAGCTAACATCTGTTGCCAGTCTTCCTCTATTTTGTATGTGAGTCACCGCCACAGCATGGCCATTGACAAGTGGTGTAGGTCCGTGCACAGGAACCAAACCTGGGCCGCCAAAGTGGAGTGCACCGAACTTAACCACAAGGCCACTGGGGCTGGCCCAGGATTTCTTTTTTTGTGTGTGTGAGGAAGGTCAGCCCTGAGCTAACATCCATGCCAATCCTCCTCTTTTTGCTGAGGAAGACTGGCCCTGGGGTAACATCTGTGCCCATCTTCCTCCACTTTATGCGGGATGCCGCCACAGCACGGCCTGACAAGTGGTGCCTCGGTGCACACCTGGGATCCGAACCCGGGCCGCCAGCAGCGGAGAGCGCTCACCTAACTGCTATGCCACGGGACCGGCCCCTGGCCCAGGATTTCTTAATCATTTATAGGCAAAAGTACTCTAAAAAGTATATAAATGATAAGGTGGTATTATTATTAAGTAGAAATAGAAGGCAATTATCCTGAAAAAGGCAATCATGTAGATGGTCAGTCTGAATATTTAAAAATAAAATGCTAGGAAGAAAATGGAAAAAAAAAAATGAGAGAAAAGCATTCCAGGTGTAGGGAACAGCAAGTACAAACGCTCTGAGGCACAAGAGCTTGGTGGGTTTGAGAAACAGGGAGGAGGCCACCTTGGCTGGACTGCAGTGAGTGAGGGGGCATGGAGAGAGGGAGATGAGGTCACGGTCAGTGGGTGCCAGGTCATGTGGACCACCAGGAGATGTTTGGATTTTACACAAAGGGCAATAGGGAGCCACTGAAAGTGTCTGAGTGGAAGGGAGAGGGGCAGGATTTTACTTGTGTTTTAAGATCCATCCAGCTGCTGGGTGGAGAATGTATTTATCAAGGGGCAGCAGGAGACCAGGGAGGAGGTGGCATGGGAGACCAATGGTGGCTTGGACAAGGATGGTGCCATGCTGTCCAATAGAAGTGTCTACAGTGATGGAAATGTTCTGCACTTGTGCTGCCTATTATGGTAGCCACTAGCTGCACGTAGCAGCTAATCACTTGAAATGTAGCTAGTGCAACGGAGAGGCTGAATTTTTAATGTTAATTAAGCAGCTATATGGGGCTAGCAGCCACCCTATTGGACAGCACAGGTCTAGAAAGACATGGACAAAGGTTAGGAGAGGAGACAGTTTGGGGATGTATGTGGAAAGGGGAGGAGATGGGCTGGAATAGCATGCTGGGCCTGTTTCCTACCACCTTACAAGGGTTTCTCCAGCTTTGTGGCAATGAGGGCAGGAGGATCAGAGTCCCGTGGGCCCCAACCACCCCTCAACCTTTCTCCAGCGTTGGGGGGACTCTGGCTGTACAACCGCATGGGCAGTCCTCCTGGCCCAGCCATCGTCGTAACTGTGGCTCCTGTTCACTGCACACCCTTGGGGGAAGGGAGAGGGTGGCTGTGCCGTCATCAGTGGGGAGCCAGGAGCAGGACGTGGCCTGGCTGCTCTCAGTGGAGAGGCCACTTGTCACGAGAGGGAGCGGAGGGCAGGCTGGCACCACCCGGGCACCCACAGGCTAGAGGGAGGGGCGAGGGAGGGGGATTCCTGGGCCTCTGTGTTCCGTGTTCCCTGGAAGGAAGTCACCACACCTTTCTGCAGAGGTGGCTGGGGGGTCGCCAATGAGCCTGAAAGGCTCTCAGTTCTCACTGTGGTCGTCTCTCAGAAATACCAAACATGATGACTAAGTGCAGCGTGCAGTCCTGGGGCTGCTTCTGGACCAGGACAAAAAGACTACAGCACGTTATTGGTGACATCTGAACACGGCCCGTGGGTTGGCTTAGAGTAGTACCAGCGTGGGCTTCTCGAGTTAGATACCGCTGCCGTGGGAGCTGAGAACGTCCTTGTTCTTAGGAAACACGCACGACCGATTCCAGGGTAAAGAAGCCGAGTGCCTGCAGTTCCCTCACGTGGTTCGGAAACGTTTATACATAAAGCCGGGGGGCCAATGTAAACACTTGGTGAAGCCCAGTAAGGGAGTTCTTTCCACTCTTTTTTGCATTTTTTCTGTAAGTTTGAAACGGTCAGTATAAAAAACTACTAAAAAATTTTTTCCAAAACCAAACCCACTGTTGCTGAAGCCCAGCCTTGGGTTCTGATTCAGCTGGTGCTGCGGAGGGGCCGAGCATCAGGAGCGTTCAGTTCTGCCCACGTGAGCCTGATGGGCAGCGGGTGGATCTGGGCAGGAGCATGCCGGTCTTCTCCAGCCATCCCCTGACCCTCCTCCTGGTGTTTGCCAGAATGGCAGGAGGAATTCAGCCAGAGGCCACACACCTCTCAGCCTGGGGGGGCATCCTCCCCGGTTAACTGCAGTGTCCTGGGTCCACCCAGCCCCACTGGTCTACTCGGGAGGGAAGGGATTTGGCTTCAAAGCCTGCACTTTCAACCTGAGCACCAGGGCAGGCGGCGGCGGGGGTGTAATCATCATCGGCATAATTGCTAGCAGTTTTTCCAGCACTTACCCTGTCATCAGGCCCAGTTCTGAGCACTACATGGGTTTTATCTTGTGTAATCTTTGCTACCATCCAGGACTGTGGGCTGCTACCTCTGTTTTATAGATGAAGAACCTGGGGCCTGGAGACACGGAGTCACTTGCCCAGAAGACCCCAACCCCTCACCTATCTGAGCCGATAGGGGACTCGGGTGGACAAGGAAGTGGTGCCTCCCTGACCCCCACCTGCTCTCTGGTTTCAGGGCAGGAAGATTATGACCGGCTTCGGCCCCTGTCCTACCAGAACACGCACCTCGTGCTCATCTGCTATGACGTCATGAACCCCACCAGCTATGACAACGTCCTCATCAAGGTGAGGCCCGTCTCCCAGCCAACCTGCCCCCAGGGCTGGGGGTCACAGATGCGGCCCCATCCCTGATGCCCGCCCTCTCCCTCCACAGTGGTACCCTGAGGTCACCCACTTCTGCCGTGGGACCCCCATGGTACTCATCGGCTGCAAGACAGACCTAAGGAAGGACAAGGAGCAGCTGCGGAAGCTCCGGGCGGCCCAGCTGGAGCCCATCACCTACACGCAGGTTGGCCAGGGGCACCCCCCTTTCCCTCTCCCACCCCATCTCACTGCCAGGAGCCCAGGTCCCTGGGCACAGCCATGGCTGAAAAGCCTCCCAGGTCTTTAGCCTCTGCAACTGGGGTACCTTAGTGGCTTCTCGGGGAGCTGAAGCACACAGGAGTCTAAGAATAATTTGTAGATATTATTATTGATAGCCCACTTATCTGAGCACTTTACTTACCTCATTCATAACCTATATATAACCCTAAGGCAGGGACTGTTAGCGTCCCCCATTTTACACGGGAGAAATTGAGACCCAGAGAGGTTAAGTAGCTTGCCCAGGGTCACACAGCTAACCTGAAGTGGAGCCAGGATCCCGTCCCAATCACTCTGGCTCCAGAGTCTGGGCCCTTAACCACCATCCTGTCCCATCTTCCTGAGGGGACTGGAGGGACAGGCCCTTGTTCAAAAGCAAGCTTCCCCTACCTATGAGAGTCGTAGGCAAAACGAAACCCCACGGCTTTCTGGGTGAGGCATGGGAGAATCAAAGGAACACAAAGGATGGGCCGGCCCCGTGGCTTAGCGGTTAAGTGCGCGCGCTCCACTGCTGGCGGCCCGGGTCTGGATCCCGGGCATGCACAGACGCACTGCTTCTCCAGCCATGCTGAGGCCGCGTCCCACATACAGCAACTAGAAGGATGTGCAACTATGACATACAACTATCTACTGGGGCTTTGGGGTAAAAATAAATAAATAAAATTACAAAGGAACACAAAATCAAGGAAATCAAGGAAAACTTGATTAGGAAAACTAATCAAGTTTACTAAAAAGAAGCATTAATAAAAGTAAATTTGTTTTAGAAATAAAGATATTTTTTACTTTTTTTTGTGTGTTTGTGAGGAAGATCAGCCCAGTGCCCATCTTCCTCCACTTTATGTGGGACGCCGCCACAGCATGGCCTGACAAGCAGTGCGTCGGTGCGCGCCCGGGATCCCAACCCTGGCTGCCAGCAGCAGAGCGCGTGCACTAAACCACTATGCCATGGGGCCGGCCCCCTGATATTTTTTACTCTAATGGCAAGCTCATTGCCTAAGTTGTGCTTTAGAGAAGAGAAGGGAGAGGCCTGCAGGAAGCCCTCCTTGTCTTGAGGCCTTCAGGTCCTCTCACAGGCCTGGCAGACACAATGAACCACCCCCCGTTCCCGGAATTTTCTGCCTGAGGTTGGGGAGCGGGCAGGGGGAGGCCAGGATGGGGCTTCTCCAGCAGTTGCAGCCCGTGGGCCACACCAAACAGGCCCTATGTCCCATCTACACACACTGGTGGGGGCTGGCCCTGGGGTGGAGAGAGGGGCCCTACACCAAGGCCTCCGCCTCTGGAGAGCCACCAACGCCAGCCCCACACCCCCAAACCCACAAGGGGGTGTCAGGAGGCACCCCATGCTCCAGGTCCCTCATCTAATGCTGGCCCCTCCCCACCCAGGGTCAGAGCGCCTGCGAACAGATCCAAGCTGCCCTCTACCTGGAATGTTCTGCCAAGTTTCGGGAGAATGTGGAGGATGTCTTCCGAGAGGCCGCCAAGGTTGCCCTTAGTGCTCTGAAGAAAGCACAGCGGCAGAAAAAACAACGGATATGCCTGCTGCTCTGACCCCTGGGGGGCACACGGCCCTCACGACAGGACTGACAGGGCCTGGCTCCCCAGGCAGTCTGTCCAGGCAGGATCCCCAGACCCAACTCTTGAAAGGCACTTGGAGTTGGGCATCTCCAGGGCCTGGGGCTAGACTCGTAGAACATTCTGGAACTCTCTCCTTTCCCAACTGGAACTTGGACCATGAACTCACCTCCGGGCTCGCTGGAGCTGTGGCCTGCGTGGTGGTGGGTGAGGGTGCTGGACTCAGTCCTTCTGTACTCTGGAACCGGCACTTGTCCCCGAGACCCAGGAGTGCCCTCTTCACAACCTCCCCTCAGCCATGTGTGTCCCCTCTTTGGACAGCCAATAGGTCCTCAAAGCCTATGCTTGAAATGAAAAACTACTGCTATGTGGATAAATGTGGACTTGGCACCATTCCACATGCCCCCCCAAGCCTGCAGCTCCCATGTCACCCGCCTCCCTGGGCTCCTGAGATAGGCCCAGCTGCATCCTCCAGCTTCTTGCTTCCTTCCCCCAGGAACTCAGGGGCCACAATGGGACCGGGGCCTATCAGGGGAGCACGGGCAACAGCCCCCAGCCACCCTCCCTCCCCCGCCCCATACAGAGGACTTCAGTCTTGGCCTTCAGCTTGGCCGCCATCTTTCCAGAGCTGGTTGCACATGCCCAAGGAGAAGAAAGTCTCTCAAAAAGCAAAAGGTATACCCTGGACCACCCACCCGAACTCCCCTCACCTGCAACCTCCCACTGCCGGAAACTCAAGATGAAAACTGACAACAGCCCTGAGTGATCTTGGGCAAGGCAGTTATCTCTCTAGACTATTTCCTTATCTGCAGGACGGCACTGGCTCATTCTAAAAGTCATCAAGCTCCCCTCTGCCCCTCACAGCCTCCACTTTTGCCAAGACGTGGAGTTCTGGAACTGAGACCATCCTGGCCTCCTGCAAGAAAGGACTTTCAACCCCCAGCTGCAGGTTCACTGAACCTCCTTCTGGCAAGTCTGGAGTCGGGGGGTCCAGGAGTTTTTAAACAAGTGCCCCAGGTGGTTCTAATGCTCCAGAGACTGAGAGCTGCTTGGTTCGAGCCCAGGAGTCAGCGTTACCTAAGATGGGATAATGGTTTCAGGTGGCTCCTGCCTCAGCCCCCCTTGCCCAGTGCTGTGGGCCACGCTAAGCCTGAGCCTCTCTGAAATCAAGTGGTAGGAAAAGAGACTGCTAAAGTCCACCCCACCCCACCTAGGTTCCCCAAGGTCCTGCCGTGCCCTGGGGAGTCAATAGAGCGTTCACAACAAGGACCTCTTGTTCTAGCAGAATCCAAGGCCTTGTGGACAAATGATGGTCTAGGACAGAGGTCTGCAAACTACAGTCTGTGGGCCAAATTTGGCTGCTGCCTGTTTTTGTAAATAAAGTTTTATTGGAACACAGCCACGGCCATTCATTTATGCATTGGCTGCTTTGCCCTACGACTGCAGACTAGAGTAGTTGTGACAGAGACCATCTGGCCCTCAAAGCCTAAAATATTTACCATCTGGGCCTTTACAGGAAAAGTTTGCCAACACCTAGTCTAGGGCAAACCCAAGTGCCTAACAGGCCTGATGGAAGGCCCAAAGGGTGAAGGAGGACAGGGATAAAAGGGAGTGGTGGGGCCTGCGGCACACTAGAAAACAAGCACCCCACCCTAGGCAGGCAGCTCAGCCCAGCCAGGTGCTGCCCCGTGGGAATATTGCCAGATCTTTCCATTCTTCTAGGCAAAGCAGAAATCTGGATTTTTATGTGGAATCTTACTGGGGGAGGAGGGGAAATTTCATGTTTTAAAAATGTAACTAATTAAAAAAATTTAAACCCCTTTGAGAGGGAAAGCTTGATTGTGGACACCAGCTGTGAACCGTGGTTGAAGGGGATTTGTAGGGAAGTAGCTGAGGCCCATATGTGGGGAGAAAGGGCAGAAAATTCAACCCAACTTGTTGGTTTCTTCACCATCCCCACGAATCCAGAATCTAACACAAGGTGACCAGCAGACCTACCCCGGCCTCTGAGTGCCTCCTGGAAGTGAGCCTGCTCAGACTTCCCCCACATTCCAGAACCTCTGAGGTGAAGGGAGGTGGAGGATGGGTGACCTCCATGATGGCTTAAGTCCCAGCCAGCGCTGAGGGTCTTGGTCCCCCTCCCTGAGTACTCACTGCAAGAATTCAGGAAGGTGGGCTGAGGGGTGGGGATCTGGAAGCCCCCAAGAGTGCACCCCAACTTTCAGTGTCAAAAATGCCTTCAAACCATTCGAGCGATGCAGAGACTGGAGCGCCCTCTGGTGGTGACCCTCAGAAAATCCTCCCACCTCAAGCCCACCCCTCCGGCTGCTCAGGGGCCAAGCCCCCAGCCCTCAGGGAGGCAGACCCGCTTTCCACTGGTGCTCAGCAGGCAGGAGACTTCAGAAGCACAAAGAGCATGAGGCAGAGACAGTGGTTCTTGGAGAACTTAAATACCGCCCCCACGGGGAGTGGGGGCTGGGAGGAAGGGAGTTTACAGCAGAAGCAGTGCGCCTGGGGGGGGGGGGAGGCTCCACAGGAGGCTGAGAGGTTTCCGCCCACCCCCCTACCTGGGCTTCAGTAAGGAGCAGGTCAGCATCAACCCCACCCAGCGAGGCACATCCAACCCCCAACTCAAATGATGGGAGTGGGGACAGAGGGGCTCCCTGAGGTTAGACCCCCCACCCCAGGAAGACTGACCCAGTCTAGGGAGGTGGGGAGGACTGGTATTAAATATCATAAATAGGGAGGCTGTGGGGCTAATACTGCGCAGACAGGCTGGGGTCACATTCCTCTTGTCCGGCCGGGGACCATGGCCTCGGCCCTGCTCCCAGCGATGCTGCTGGCCCCTGAGGTTGCTGCTGCCAGTGGCCACCGGCACTGTGGGGGAGGAAATCAGCAGTGAGGTGCCGACTGGGATCCCCCTGCAGTCTCAAAGTCCGGGGGCTCAAGGCGCACACGAGTCCTGTGGCTCACGGCTTCTTTGCCTTGTTTCTGTTCTTCTGGAGTTTGGCGTGCACGACTTTGAGTGTGGTCAGAAAATTGCCGAGGAAGAGGACAAGGAACGTGAGTGCCAACACGAACACCTGGGGGGGCGGTACAGAGAAGGGTAGTGCCAGGGGCCGGGAAGATGGGGCAGAGAAGAGGGCAAAGGAAGAGGCTGTGCCAGCCTCCCATCAGCTACCCCTGCTAAATGCAGAACCCCCTTGGCACCAGCTACTCGCAAACTGCAGGGTTTGCCCGCAGACGGCAGAGATCTGGGCCAACCGGGTGAGGGGTGAGAGTCCTGAGGATCCTGAGGGTCAGGCAAGGTCCTAGGGGGCTCCTCCCTCAGCCCCCAGTAGTGTTTGGTGGGGTGAACCTCCTTGGGACTCTCAGACCACTGAGGGGGTCCCTGGCCTCCCGAATTCCCTCCCAGGGTCTCCCAGGCCCCAGCAGCAGGGGCCCCACAGAGGGGGTAGAGGGAGGGGCTGAGGAAAGAATTCTCCCCAAAGCGGCCCAGCCTTCCCCAGGACCCCCACCACACACACACACACACACACACACACACACACACACACACCCACCCATACCTGCCATTCTTTGCATTCCTCGTGGCTGGAGAGCTCAAACAACGTGACGGCATTGTAGAGCTGCCAGAACTGCAGAGAGGGGAGAAAGGCACTGCTCACCCGACCCAATTCCCCCGGAGACCCCCGTGGGAAAGCCCAGGGAGATAGACCAGGCCCCCCAACTTCTGGTATCAACAGCCCTGAGATACTGACAACCCCCCAAAATGAAACTGGGGCAGGTCTGAGGGCCTGGGGTTGGGCATGCTGGTGCTGAGGGCCAGGTCTGGCTTCAGCCTCTGGCATCCCTAGACCCAGGGGCCGGCCTAGCCCCAGGACCCTGTGGGGCCCAGCTCAGCGACGGCTGGAGAATGACGGACAGGCATGAAGACCTTCTGTTCCCGGGAGTCAGCCCAGAGCAGGGGATACCCACAAACTCCAGGGGAACTCACGTGGCCACAGAACAGGAAAGGCAGGAGGAAGGTGAGGCCCCGCCACATCCAGGACTGGAATCCTTCTGTGGAGAGGAGGGAGGGAGGGAGCAAAGGGCTCATGTGAGGGGGTTTGGCTGCCCCTACAGTCTCACCAAGCGCCCATTGCCCAGCCATGCCAGTCATCCTGAGATTAGTCAGGCACAAACACAGCTGGGGCAGGGGGACAGACCTCACCTCTGATAGGGGGATGAGTGCTCACTATGAAAATAACCCAGAGAGCATGCAGAACACCTGTCACCAGGCCCAACTGCTCTCACACCTCAAGTCACCATGAACTAAGTAGGCTAGACAATACTTACAGAACGCTGATTTCCAGGCACTATGTTTTTTAATATAATTTACACAGGCTTTTGCATTTCATAATGCATTTTTGCATTCATCATTTCAATCGAGCCTTGATAAAATAGGGCCTACTTTGCAGAGTAATTCGATGGAAATGACCATCTCAAGAAAAAGCAGAGTTTTATTAAAAAGAGTTTCCTCAGAAAGTTTAGACGGGGGTCTCTGAGCTTTTCTGATTGGGCATCCACCCCTATGAGTTAAAAAAGTTCAGCGTACATTCCCAAAATGTAAACATGTATGTGTTTATACACATTTATATGTAGACATATTATACATAAATTATGTGCAACATCACTAACCTAACGTTATGTATATTATAAAACACAGGCAAAAATGGACATTTAAAAAGGATAAGATGGAATCAGCATCGAGGGCCTGGCACACAGCTGGCCTCACGTTTGTCAGCTGAAACAGAATCCACGATGAATTATGAAAAGCAACTCAGGCACAGGCCAGCAGCCCTGGCTTTGTGTGTGGTAGGTCTTACACTCTTACTGGCAGGTGCTCCCAGTGGGGAGTATGGGGCGAGGTCTAGGGGAGCTGGGAGGGGCCGGGGCTCCCCAACCCCCGCCCCCGGGGCTACTTACCCACCGTGAGGTCCAGGTGATTCCTCTCCCCCAGGGCCCGCAGCCGGTAGAGGCAGCCCCTCTGATAATAATATTGCAGGAACTGGACACAGCCTGCAGGGGGAGCACAGCGCCCAGCTCAGGGCCTGGAGGACTGGGCAACACCTCCACTGCAGGCTGTGGGTCTTCACTTCCCAAAGGGCAGGGGGCGCCCTGGATACAACTCTCTCCCACCCTCATCACAGACACAGACAGACACAGACACACACACACACTTCGGTCTGAACCCTTTTTATCCTTTATCCAGAATACAAAGAGAGCTCAGGTTATCCGAGGACCCAACTAAGCCCCAACTAGACTAGAAACTTCTGGAGCTTTCCCAGGCATGCAGTAGGCACTCAATAGATGCTTGCTGGAATGGCAGCACCATGCTGGGAGCTGTGTGCAATGCCAAGACACACAAGAGACAGCTCCATAAAATCGGGTACTTTAGTCACTAAAAATGAGGAAGTAGAATTCTGTGTAGTGATGTGGAAAAATACCCATGATAAATTGTTAAAAGAAAAAAAAAACTAGGCTATAAAAAAAGCTATATGTGCAGAGGGATCCCATATTTGTAGACTATACATAATGCAGTATACATGTATTTATGAATAAAAATGTTTGAAAGGACATAGATCTATTAAGAGTGATCACCCCAGGGCCAGCCCGGTGGCACAAGCAGTTAAGTGCACGCGCTCCGCCGCGGCGGCCCTGGGTTCGCCGGTTCGGATCCCGGGCGTGCACCAACGCACTGCTTGTCAGGCCATGCTGTGGCGGCATCCGATACAAAGTAGAGGAAGATGGGCACAGGTGTTAGCTCAGGGCCAGTCTTCCTCAGAAAAAGAAAAAAGGAGGATTGGCATCAGATGTTAGCTCAGGGCTGATCTTCCTCACACACAAAAAAAGAGTGATCACCCCTAACGGTGGGATTAGACATAATTTTCATTCTCAGCTTTATATATTTGTATTTGTTTGGAAGCAGGGTTTTATTTAAAAGTTAAATTGTATTTTTTGAACAGGCAATGTGCGCACAGTATAAAAGTCAAAGGGAACAAATGTATTTGGTAACAAGTAAAGCTCTCCCTCCCTGTCCTCAGGCACCCAGGCTCCCCCTTCCCAGAGGTGACCCCTGGGACCAGTTCATTGTATAGAAATCCAGAGCTATTCTTAAATGAGAACAAGAACGTGTATTTCCATTTTGAGGAAAACAAAGCTAGTGCCCCTAACACCACTCAGTTCCGGAAGGCTGCAATTGTTTGGGTTCTGGGGAGGGAAAAGGAGGTAACAGGAGCTCCAGGGGGTGGGGGCAGGTCAGGCCTTCCCTCTCCCAGGGTTGGGGGCTGGGGGGTCAGATGGAGATGATCTGGCGGAATACCTCTTTTCTGGACTCCCCTGCCCCAGGCTGGCCAGGGATCTCCCCCAGTCTCATCTCCCTTCCATGCAAGACACACCCCTCACGAGGGGCTACTCCCCTGAATCCCGGCAAGAGACACTCACTTTGAAAAATGGAAAACGCTAAGAACTGACTGCGAAACTTCTGATAAATTAGTCCGTTTGGCCTGCAGAGAAGCGGGAAGAGGCCAAGGTGAGGCACGCTTGAAATCAGACATTAATCCCAGCCCATCTCTGTTCCAACCAAGAGAGAAGAAAAGGTTTTAAAATGAAGCCGAGGTCCCCGATTTCTGCCCTTCTTTATCACCAGTGTCCCTGAGCTGGACCAGTCATTTCCATCATTGCTTTAAGTACATTCCTGAACCAGGGCTCGGAGCCCATGTAGTCATTCTGAAGCCCAGGTTCCCAACCATTCCCCGCTCCCTCCATCTTAGCCTCCTCTGATGCTCCAGCCTCATCTGTCCTGCCTTGCTCCCTGTCACCGCTGCCCCAGCCAGCAGGCAGACAGGACATTCCCTGGAAAACTCCCCAGATAGTTTGGGGGGTTCCCCACAGCCCAGTTGTAAGCTCACACTTTCCTCCTTGGCCCGAAAGGCCCCCTGATCTGGGCCCCCTCGCCCACCACCAGTGCCCATTCACCAGCCCCCACCCTCCGGCTCCCGGGGGAGGGCGAGCAGAGACCCTCAGAACACAGCAGGAGACACTCACCAGGTCAGCATCACTCCAGACAGGAACGTGGACACGTAGTGGTGAGACACCCACCAGCCTTTAATTCTCAGAGAGAACAGGAGAAGGAAAAGGAGCTCAAGAGGGGAGAGAAACGCAGGCGTCTCCCGTTCCCCAGCCTATGTGGGCAAGGGCTGCTCTGTGGCTTGGAAACGGTCATGAAATAGACCCAAGCCGTGACTCTGGCCCTCTCTGTCCTACCGAGATGCAGAATTACATGGAAACCACTCACAGATTAGCCACGAGACCCACAGAAGCACTTGGGCCTCCAGTGGCTTCCTGCTACCCTCAGAACACATGCCTAGGCTCCCCACGACTCCCAGCCCCGCCTCCCTGTCCTCTCCTCCTTGAACCCCCCAAGCCCACGGCTACCTCAGGGCCTGTTACGGGCTGACTTGTGTGCCCCTAAAACTCCTATGTTGAAGCCCTAACTCCCAGTACCCCAGAATGTGACTGTCTTTGGAGATGGGGCCTTTAAAGAGGTGATTAAGGTTAAATCAGGTCATAAGGATGGGCCCTAATCTACTAGGACTGGTGTCCTCCTTAGAGGAAGAGACACGGGGAGTGCACAGGCTCACAGAGCAAAGGCCACGTGAAGCCACAGTGGCCGTCTGCAAGCCAAGGAGAGGCCTCGGGAGAAACCAAACCTCCTGGCACCTTGATCTTGGACTTCTAGTCTCCAGAACTGTGAGAAAATGAATTTCTGTTGTTTAAGCCCCCAGTCTGTGGTATCTTGTCATGGCAGCCCAGGCAGATTCACAGGGCCTTTCCATTTGCGGTTCTCTCTGCTCCAACACCTTGGCCTGCCTGGCTCCTGGTCCGAATTCCAGTTTTGGACAAACTGTCCTCCAAGATGCCTTCCCCGACCACCTTATCTAAAGCAGCCAGCCCCACTCTGGATCACATTACCCTGTTTCATTTTTTTCATGGTGCTTACCGCTATCTGAAATTATTCATTATTTTTTTTCTTGTTTGTTTTCTAAACCCCCTTCCCAACTCAAATGTAGACTCCAGAAGAGCAGGGATCTTGTCTGTGCTGTTCACTGATGTATCTGTGACACCCAGCAGTGTCAGAGGAGGTGCTCATAAATGCGTTGAATAAACACAGAACACACACACACATTTCCACACAGCTGTAGCTACCTACCTATGTTACCCCACAGATACAGTGAAATGACAGGCCGCACAGGCAGCATCTCACACCATCTCAGACGCAGCTTCTCCCTGGGAGCCCTACGCCCTCAGGCACATCTGCACTTGTGGTCTACAGCAGGTCCTCACCCAGCCCTGGACTTGATCCATCCAGCCCAGAAGCTGTGGGGACCCTGTTGTCAGAACCCAGAGCTCCCCCAGCTCCCAGCTCTCACTCCACAGCGGGAGAGGAAGCATGGTGGTCACATCCTCCTCTGTGTCAGGGGCAGCCTAGGATGAAGATGGACCCTCGAACTTTTCCCCTTCAAAGTCCCTGAGTCTGTCTGGCCTCTGCTGCCCTTTCCCGGCCCCTCTCTGGGAGCTCAGTTATCTGAACACAACGTGGCAGTGATTTGCTTTGGCAAATGCAGCCTGGGAGCAGCTGAGCTCCGTCCTCCTAAGGACTGGGCAGTAGGTATTGGGAGGCCTGCAGGATCCACGTGGGGGTAGTAATCAACCTTTGCCCTCCAGGTCTCTCTCGGGAGAGGACTGGCGCGAGGGCCAAATGGGGAGATGGGGTCCAAGGTGCTGCCGCTCACAAAAAGGAGGAACCCGAGGATCTGCTGGTTCGGGGGATGAGCGCAGGATTACACTTGCTTTTTAACTAAAATCGTCCTGCAACTTGCTTTCCTGTCTTGATTCCCAGGCCAGTACCTATAGACCTGTCACTGGCTTCTTAAAAGCCACGTGACATTTCAGGATGTGGCTCTGCCATAGTCTACTTGGCTGTTCCCCAACTGTCCCTGTCATCCCTGATGCTGCCATGACATCCTTGTGGATGTCCCCTAGGGCAATGACACTGTTCCTCTGTGGTGGCTACCAAGAAGCAGGTCAGAGGATGTGTGCATTGTTACTTGTCAAATTACCCTCCAAAACCGCTAGCCACCTTAGACCCGCATCAGCAGTAGGGGGGAATACCTGGTTCCCCAAACCCTCACCAACACCTGACACAAAATTTTAAAATTTCTTCCCATCTTAATAGGTGAAAATTGGTGTGTCGTTGAGGTTTTAATTTGTATTATCCTAATAAGCGATTTTGAGCAGTCTTAAAACCTTCCAATCAGAACACAGACATCATAAGAGCAGAGACTGGACCTTACTGATCTCTTCTTCTCTTTGCAGCCCTACAACAGTTCTAGATACGACTTTGGTGTGCAGGCAACGGCTTGTGGGCACCTCAAGGGTCATGGTGAGGGACAAGGCTTTAGGCGGCTCTTTATTCCCAGTACTAACAGCACCTGGTAAACAGCAGGCACTCAACGAATGTTGAAATGAATGAAGTGATGTCCCAGAGGTGCAGCTGGTGAGGGTAGCAGCTGGTCTGATGCCACCAGCACAGAGGTGACAGATTGTTGCAGGTGCCACATGAGTTCACAAGACAAGATCTCCATCCCCTTCTTTGTCCCAATCTCTTCCTCCCCAAGTCCCTGTCTTGCCTGTCAGACTCTACGAAGAGTCCTGGCTCTAATTTTCTGACAGAAAAGGCAGTTGGCCCCAACCTCAAACTTTCAGCTTGAACCCAAGAAGCCTCTCTGGGACTTCCTAGTTCTCTGCAAAGCCACATGCAAGCCCCACGCTCCCATGTCCTGCTCCACAAAGCTCCCCGGAGAAATGCCCTCTCCCTGTGTGGGAGCAGCCGGAGCCAGACACAGGCTCAGAGCAACAAGCTTGGCTGGGCAGCAGCTTTTAATTTCACTGCTCGCCATGCCCAGAGCCCATCTCTAACAGATGCCACCAATAAACACAGCTCAGCAGCACCGGGAGAGCTAGAAATTGCTTCTTCCCCAGCGCAGCATCCACCAGCCCCGTTGTCCATCTGCACACCCCAGGGCTCTGGACTGGTTTTGTGCATATGTGTATTTATATAACAGTTTTATTGTAATGTAATTCAGATACCATACCATTCACCATTTAAAGTATATGAGTCAGTGATTTTTAGTACATTCACAGAGTTTGTGCAACCATGACCACAATCAGTTTTAGGACATTTTTATCACCCCAAAAAGAAAACCGCACCAATTAGCAGTCACTCTCTGGGGCTGTTTTGCCACAGAGATGAAGCTTGCAGGGGCTTGTGAGCTTTCTAAATGAACAGACAGTGGATGCTCCAGGAACAGCAGTGCACACATGGCCAGAATGTAGGGACAGCATGTCCTGGTATCTGGGGATGTGCCCGGGGAGACCATGGCCCTCCCTTCAGGACACCTTAGCCACATTTGCAGTGTGTCCACAAGATACATGCACCAGCTACTCTTCAATCCCAGGCTATTTCTGGCTTTGAGCTTCGGGTCATCTGGGCAGTTGGGGGAATGGCTTCCACGAGGCTCCCTCCCCTGCCTGCCACCCCTACACCTCTGTATCCCGGGAAAGGCCACTATAAAAGCTGGTTAGAGCCAGGAAGCCATGGGCTGGCTCGCCAGAAAAGCCACCAGGATCTCTGATTCATTACTCTTTCTGGCCCAGAACTAACTGTGGGAGACATCTGCTGTTTTGCCTGTCTGTCAATCACTCCCATTGTGGTTCCCAGCCTCAGTTTTCTTTGGGGACCCGCCTCACCCCACACTCAGTCTAGGTAGTCGGGGTGGAGCTGAGGAATATAATTGGCCACGTGACAAAGAGTCAGCCAATCAGAGCTCTGCATCCCTCCAGACACAGTGATTGGCTCAGGCATGAGCATGTGACCTGAGCCTAGGCTATCAGAAGTCCCTCTCAAGATTGCCCCTTGCTTTGTAGAGGAAAGGGGCTTTTTCCGCTGAGATTGCTGATTAGGTAGGATGCTGGACAGGGCTGCTGGGAGCCAGTGCAAGGAACAACAGAATAGGGAGAGGGAGCAGGACTGTTAACATTGAGCCCTTTTCACCTCCCTGAACTATTTATATGCTCCCCCTTCATGTTTACTCCTATCAGGCAGTTTTCCCTTATTTGCAAAATTGGCAAGGGAAGCTGATTTGCTTATTGCACTGAGCTAATGAGCTACATCTCACATGGGAGGTATCAGACACAAGTCGAAGGTGGGGGAGTCCCTCCATACCTCCACCTCTCTAGGCCTGCTTCCTCGAACCACATCTCTAATTCAGGTCTCAGGTGCAACAGGGAACAGGAGGGAAGAGACTCACTCAGACCACAACTGGGCAGCAAGCCTCCAGGAAGCCCTTAGAGCTCAGCTCCAGCTGTCTTTAGAATGCTGGTACCGCCCCAGGGACCTTCCCTCATTGCCAAGCTTGGGTTCCATTCATTTCTACAAAGACGATGGAGTATTTACTGGATACCAACCCTGGGCTCCTGACCTGGCCCCTGGGATGCTTCAAAGATGAGAAAGGTAGTGTTCATCCCAATCCGGACCCCTCCCTCCTCCTCCTCCTCACGTGCTCTCTTGGAATGGTTTCTTAGCTATTCCCTGTAAGGGCCAAGTGTGAGGGGAAACCTCAAAGGCATTTCCCCTGCCCACCTCCAGGAAAAATCAGCTCTGAGAAGGAGCTGGGGGAGGATGGAGGCTAAATATCCAACAGATATTGAGGATGAGTCACAAGTTTTAGTCACTCAGATTCAGCCCACCTGCCATGCCCCTCTCCCTCCTAAATTGGCCACAACTCCAGTAGTCATTCCAGAAGATGAGGCACCTGTACGAGCTGACCCTCACCCATTCCAGCCTCCCCACCACCACCATATCTGAACCCCTGCCCCAGGCCAAAGTGGGGAGACAGGCCTGGAAGAACGGTGCCATTACAACTCGAGATTCCTGAACCATATTTGCCACGAATGGGTCTTTTAAAAAAGACTGAGTGCTCCCAAAAGGCACAGGGTGTGGGCTATCTTGGAGTCTCTAGCTCAGTGTCTGGCACCTAGGAGATGCTCAAAATAAATGTGTGATGAATGCCGGGGGTGGAGGGGTAGAGCGGTTCCCCCACACAAAGCTTTGCATTACAAGCTCAGAGACAATCCTTCCTGCTGTCCTGTCAGAGTGTGAGCTCCAAGGAGGCCCCAGAACAGCCCTTGCTAAAGTGTTAGGCAAACAGGGCTTAGCTTTGGAACCCCACTTCTTTCCCCTTTGTCCCCCTCCCCATTTTCCTGGTGTGCTCCACACTTGCAGGGACCTCCACTCAGTCCTGCTCCCTTCTCTCTGGTAACCCCTGCATCCACAGCTTGTCATAGCAGGAAAAAAGCTGACTAGAGTAACTCTTACTAAAGTGTTAGTGACTGTTAGAGACGCAGCATGCCCCTGAACACTCTTAATATGAGTCCATGAGAAGGGTGAAACTGCAAGACTGACAGCCCATGGGTACAGGAAGAGAATTAGTGACAAGGAAGCCTTGCCAATCGCCCTGGCCGGCCCCATTTCCCCGCTATATACTACCCTGGCTCCCCTCCAACCACACCCAAAAGCAGAAAGATACTATTCACTAAAATTAAGGAAAACTATGAATGTTATTTATTTTATAAGATTTTCTACTTCAGTGTTTCCCAAAGCATAGGGCGCGTACCACCAAGTTTTAGATGATACTGAAGCATAACACTAGACGATACTGAATCGTGGTGAGAAGTCATCTTCTCAGTTCTCTTTCCATCTCCTGATTAAGTTAAGGAGAGAGTCTCAGTCAGATGCTAGTACATCTTTAACGCCTCTCAAGATCTGCTAATCTCCCTTTTACACACACATACAGAGAAGAGAGATAGCAGGCCTCAGGCACAGAGCCTTCAGGAAGCAAGAATCATTGACTTCAATAAATTACACAATGAAAACAAAAAGATATTTTTACACGACTTCCTCTTTCCTGCAATTGATGCTGGTTTTCCATGTATGGTGGTGAAATAGAGTTTCCTTTTAAAATAAATTAAGATGGGCCAGCCCCGTGGCTTAGCGGTTGGGTGCGCGCGCTCCGCTGCTGGCGGCCCAGGTTTGGATCCCGGGCGTGCACTGACGCACCGCTTCTCCGGCCATGCTGAGGCCGCGTCCCACATACAGCAACTAGAAGGATGTGCAACTATGACATACAACTATCTACTGGGGCTTTGGGGAAGAAGGGGAGGAGGATTGGCAATAGATGTTAGCTCAGAGCCGGTCTTCCTCAGCAAAAAGAGGAGGATTGGCATGGATGTTAGCTCAGGGCTGATCTTCCTCAAAAAAAAATAAATAAATAAAGTAAATTAAGATTTATTTAAATAAAAAAAAAAAAGGAGAGAGTTGGTTTAAAATGTGAGAAAATTATCATCTAGGTGATACATGGACATGGTGAAAAAGGCATGGATAGGACAAAAGTGAGTGCAGTTTGAGAAACACTGATCTTTTCTAAAGGGCTACATCCTACAGGGCTGTGTACCTAAGAACCGCTGCTCCCCTGCTCCTTACCTCTCAGCTCTATGTTCAGGGTAAGGCCCGGCAGGGCAAGGATCTGCCATAAGAGACCACTGGGCAGAAAAGTGAGAAGGTGGCAAATTATTTGGGGGTTTGGCAGATGCCCCCAATCTTAAATACCCAGTTCCTGGCCATTCCTTACCAACCCTCAGGAGGGAGGAAGCGGGGAGGGGTTGGGAAGTCGTTACTTTTTGTTTCAGGAAAGAATAGGGGCAGGAATTGCATGCAGAGGTTCAAATGGCCACCCCACAAAGGAATCAGACCTTCAGAAAGTGGGTCCTCCAGGAGGCAAGTCGTGGATCTCAACTGGGTCCTGAGATTCTCAGCTCAGAGACAGGTGGGGCAGAAAAGAAGCTGAGAGAAAATAGTGGGGCTCCTTGCACTTGGAGGCCTTCAGAGATGGGGGAATGAGGGTAGCCCCAATCGTGTCTAGATTCACTCAGCAACACTGGGACACAATCACTCCCCCAAGGGACTCTGAAACAGCCCAAAGAAGGGACGTGACTTGCCCAGGGTCACAGAGCTGCTGAGTGACAGCACTGGGGCTAGAACTCAGGAATTTTCTCTCCCAGCCTGCCCTCCTTCTCCCCAGCACCAACTCTGTGACAGGGCAGGTTTGGCCCAAGACCTGCATCACCTGTCCACCCTCCTCGCCATCTCCCTGTGGGGCACTATTCACTCTTGTCACCAGAATCCATTCATCTTTCCAGTGACAGTATCCCGGTTTGCCTCTGGGGAACCACTCCCCTCCTGACACTGAGCTTCTAAGCTTCTAATCACAGTGTAGGGATGGGCACAGGGCCTATCAATCACAGCTGTGCCTTCTCTGGCCATGGTGATGGGTTCAGAGATGGGCACAGGATCCAGTGAGTGCCAGTGGGACCCAGAGAGACTCTTGGAAGAGAGGAACGTGCCCTATTTTGCTGGGAATGCTAGAAGCTGCTTGGGTGTGCCTACATGGAGCCTGAGAATAAAGACAACACATTAGAAGGCAGAGGTGAGAGATGGAGAGAAACTGGGTCCTGATGAGAATGTCTGAGCACCTGGATTAAGCCTCACCTGAAGTCAGTCCCAGTGGACCTGGTCCTTGATAGGAGAAAATAAATGTCCTGTTATGTTAAGTGCATTTGAGTTAGGGTTCCTTGTAAGCAAGAGACTGACCATAGCAAGTGACACTGCAGCAGAAGCAGACACGCTTTTCCTCCTCCCTGGGTCTGAGTGGTCACGGCCCCCCCCAAGGAGAAAGAGAATGCAGGCTGAGGGTGACAGTCCTCACTTGCCTCCCCTCCATGACAGATTTCCCTTTGGCTTCCCCTACGTCCCCCCAAAGCCGGACCCCCAATTACCTTGAGCCGTTGCTGATGAGAATACTCTCCCGAATGGTCAAGGTGCAGTAATACCACACCAGCAAGAAGTTAAAGATTTCATCCGTCACCCTGGTGGGGAGAAACAGCCCCGGGGAGGGGAGCGGGCATGAGAACCAGGGACGGCTGTCCCACACTCACCACGACAGAGCAGCAAACCAGGACGAGGGCTGCCCACAGCAGGCGGGCCTCTGGAAACCCCTACTGACCCCTGGGAAGGCAGAGGGAGCTTGGCCTCCACCTAGCATGCCTGTCCCCCTCCTCACCTTTCTACAGGAATCCTACGTGCCCTTAAGGCTCTAGCTGAAGATTCCTATCCTTCTCGGATCACTCAGCCGACAACTGCCTGTCTCCCTTCTAAATTCTTACTGTCTGATGTGAAATTTCTGGTGGGATGGTGACAGAAGGACTTTAAACAGGAAACCTAATATTCTATTTTAAACTGCCTGCGGTGTCAAGATGTAAATTCCTTCTGTCCCCTTAAACCATCTGCAAACTTTGTTGCATGTACAAAAAAATTCTTGACAGCCTGAATTGTCCGTAAGATGAACTTAAAACTCCCAGCCTCCTCTACAGTGACTGCAGCCCGGAGCTGGGCAGAGCAGGCCTTCAAGGCAGACAGAACTGGGCGGCTGGAGTCGTGCTGTGCCCCGGTCAGAGTGGAGAGCCGGCAGACACGCTGTGTGTGACCTTGTCAGAGACCTGCCTGGCCTCAGCTTTGCTGTCTGTAAAATGGGAAGGCTGACCCCCTACATGAGCATTCCTGGATGAAGGATCCTGGGAGAGAGAGCATGCGACAGACAGCCCATCAGAGGGCTCCCCCACCACCAACTCTCTGACTGATGAGGCCTCGACGAAGGCTCTATCTTCCACCCCAACGGGAAGCGCCTCTGCACCTCCCAGCGTCAGACAGATCCACCCAGCACGGGACAAGAAATGACTGCACGGGGTGATGTCCGTCTGCACGGGGGAGGGAGAACACTCCCCTTCTCCATTTCCATCCCTGAACTGGGAGATCCTTCTCCCCAACTCTAACGGCCCTGGGAGGCAAATGGGAGGATGCAACTTCAACAATAATAAAAGAGGCTGGGAGGTGTCTTTTAAGCTGTGTGGTCACAGATGACAGACTCTCAGTCCCGAGCCCTGCTGAACCATCGCCCGCAGAGGCAGTCTTGGGAGGATCAGGAACAGACCCTGAAACACAGGGCCTGAGCTCAAACTCCGGCTGCGGGAGCATGGGCAAGTTAGGGATTCTCCCATGCCCTCACTTCCCCATCTGTAAATGGGAAGAGGAATGGCACCTCCCGCCCAGGCCGCCGTGAGCCTCAGCTGAACTGAACACGTGAAGTGCTCAGAACAGCGCCTGGAGCACAGGAAGAGCTGTATGTGTTCCCTCATAATTTGGAAGCACCACAGAGGGTCCAAAGTCTAAGAAATGAGTCTCAAATGCCCAACTCTGAGGAAATCAAAGGCCCACTTGACCTGACCAGGAAACAGGGGGTGAGGGGACGGCCTCCCCAGTGCAGAGTCACTTAGATGCTGACTTCTGAGCTCATCTCCAGACAGGAGACAGGCCCAGTAGCCAGTCATGGTTACCAGGATATTTTTCACTGTCCCTTCCTACATCTTATCAGTAAAGAGAGGAATAAAAATAGTTTTATGGCCCCAGCACCTCAGGGACATGCTTGAGGTGCTCGCCTCAACCTGCTTGGCCAAAGTGTATGAGTTTCCTGTTGCTGCTGTAACAAATGACCACAAACTTAGAGGCTGAAAGCAACACATTTATTCTCTTACAGTTCTGGAGGTCCAAAGTCTGAAATGGGTCAGCAGGGCTACATTCCTTCTGGAGGCTCTAGGGGAGAATCCATTTCCTTGCCTTTTCCAGCTTCTAGAGGTCACCTGCATTCCTTGTCTTGTGGCCCCACATCGCTCTGACCTCTGCTTCTGTCATCACATTTCCTTCTCTGACTCTGACCCTCCTACCTCCCTCTTACAAAGACCCTTGTGATAACACTGGACCTACCAGATAATCCAGGATAATCTCCCATCTCAAGATCCTTAACTTAATCTATCTGCAAAGACCTTTTGCCATGTAAGGTCACATATTTTCAGGTTCTGGGGATTAGAAAGTGCCCATCTTTGGGGACCATTATTCAGCCTGCCACACTAGGCCAGCACTAATCATTGGGAACTTGCAACGCTGCAGGCATTTTACATGGACAATCTTTCTGGATCCTTGAACAATCCTATAGGACTGGTTCCTATGGAAAGTGTATTTACAATCAGGCCCATCTGCATGACTTCCAACAGCCAGAACCTGCAACTCCTGGCACACCTGGGGGCTTTCTCAGGCCCCCAGAGCTCACTCTGCTGGTGTGAGAGGCAGATCAGGAAGGTGAGGGAATTAAAACCCTCTGGGAGCAGTCCTCAGCTCCTGACTGACAGCACTTGGAGGATAAATACCTCGGCTCCCTCACCCCTCAGGTGGCATACCTGAGGCATGTTCTACACTGTCCCCCAGTTCTCCAGGAGCACTGAACTCCAGGTGCCCACCAGAATTGTGAGAAAATATATTTCTGTTGTTTTAAGCCACCCAATTTGTGGTACTTTGTTAAGACAGTCCCAGGAAATGAACATAGAAAGGGATGGGAAGAAATGGGAATTTTCCCTCAGTGAGCCTTAGAACTTGACAACACACCACAGGTGTGCCCTTTGAGGGCCCCAGAGCTCCCAGCACAAGGGACTCTGGTTGCACATCAATAACTTCTTACCGGTTTCCAGAAGAGCATGAGAGCAGGCATTACTGACGTGTGCAGCCTTTGCCCTCTGGGGACACGGGCCAGGCCCAAGGCAGCAGGCAGGCATGGGCCCAGGGCCTAAAAGAGCCTTTGTTTGGACATTCAAGTGGCCAGACCAGCAACTGGACTCCCAGCCAAGCATCTGCCAGGAAATAAACCCCCTGATATGTGGCCCAAATGTCCAAGTCATACTTGGCCGCTTCCCCTCGGGCCAGAAAACCCAGGACCTGAAGGAGAAACGAAACCCTCTGGGGCAGTGCAGCTTCAGCCCAGCGGCCTCAGCCTCTCCAAGTGGCACGGCCTCGTCCCACTCAAACAGCAGCAAAACCACCGGGTGCCAGGCGCTGGGCAGAGCCCTCCACATCCAGTATCAATGCACCGAGTCGTCACAACAACCCTGTGAGGCAGGCACTGAAGTCACCTCGTTTTACAGATGGGGAGACTGGGGTTCCCAGAGGGAACCTGCCCACGCTAACAGCCTTCAACCCCAGCAGCCTGTGATCTTTCTTTCCTTCCTTCTTTTCTTCTTTCCCTCTTTCCCTTTCTCTTTGTAACTGAGATATAATTCACATATCATAAAATTCACCCTTTTAAGGTATACAGTTCAGTAGTTTTTAGTATATTCAGAGTTATGCATCCATCACCACTATCTAATTCTGGAACATTCTCATTGTTCCAATGGAAACCCCACACCCATTAGCAGTTACTCCTCATTTCCCCCTCCCCCCAGCCCCTGGCAACCACTAATCTATTTTATGTCTCTATGGATTTGCCAATTCTGGACATTTCGTATAAATGGAATACGTGGCCTTTTGTGACTAATTTCTTTCACTTCGCATAATGTTTTCAAGGTTCATCCGTGTTGTAGCAGGTGTCAGTGCTTCATTCTTTTCTATGGCTGAATCATATTCCACTGTATGGGTATGCCACTGGGCTCTTTCTTAACTACTATGTTACAAGGCTTCTCCAGCAGCTGTTTCGTAGATATTTGCTGGACGGACGTAGGGTGGACAGGACTGCTATTTCTCATGAGAAATGGCCCTTCTCTACCTACAGCTTGTCACACCAAACACTGCAGACACAGGAGAGACCGGGAATCCCGCTCTCACGGCCTCCTCCCCGCTGCATGCCCACACACGTGGCCGCACCCCCCATTACCTGTAGTGAAGGACAAATCGACACGCCACAGCCCCCAGGAGCAGGATGATGGTCAGGTAGAGCTTGAACTTCTCATATTCATCCTTGTAGGCAAATCTGCAGTGACAGACATCCCCCCATAACTATTACTATAGTTATAGTAATATAACTATATCCCATTTGGGGGCAGGACCCTCAGCCCCATCAGATCCTTGACCTACCACCACCCACACCTCACAAGGACCTGCCAATCCCACTGAAGGAGAGACCTGGCCTTGAATTAATGGTGATGATCAATTAGGGAAAGAGGGCCAATGTGTAAAGCTTCCCACAACCCTGGACTCCTGGTTTAGGGCTCTGGGCCTGTGATGGCAATGGGCAGGGGGTAGAGACAGTGTCTCCTCCCCCAACCAGCTACTGCAGCAGAAATGCCACAGCTCCATTGCCCCTGAAACTGACAGATTTCGAGTGGACAGGACTGCCTGCTTCCAAGGAGAAATGTGTGTGATAAGGTGTGGAATGGAGCAGGGGCCACTTCTCATGAGAAATTGGCAGTCCTGTCTACCCAGCGTACTGACTCTGTAAATGAAGGAAGGAAAGCTCCCCCAGGGGGTCTACCCACTGCAGGGGAGACTGTCAGAAAGACAAAGAGCCAGAGCCCCAACAGTTAATGATTTTTTCTGTATGCAACAATACCAGCTCGGTCTTGTCTCTCCTGAGTTGAAAGAGCCAAATGACTGGATTCCGTAAAGCCAGGTTGGGGTCTGGGACACTTACTTGGCCTGGTTGCTGAGAAGCGTCACATTCACATTGCCAAGGACCAGATTTAAGTAGAGCCTGGAAGGAAAGACCTGTGAGGGCCACCGTGTTCCTTAACAGCTGCAGGAATGGGCCCCAACCAAAAATATTCAAACTTAATAAGCACACACTGAACACAGGATGTTCGAAAATAGGGTGCTAAACTCAGTGGTAAAATTCTCACATCCAGTGAGAATAATGAGTAACTAGAGAACGTGACAACTACGACACATGACAGTCATGACTAACCCATTTCCCCCCATTTTAGCTGGCTTAGAGACCATACTTCCCAGCCTCCCTTGCAGCTAATGTCAGCATGTGACTAAGTTCCGGCCAATGAGGCGAAGGCAAATGTTCAATCTCCAGGTCAATTTAAAAAGAGCTCTTTTTAAAATTGAGGCATAAGGCATAACCTTCATTAAGTAAACAGATCGTAAGTACACGACAAGGTATATTTTTACATATTTACACATCCATGTAGCCAACACCCAGATCAAAGAATAAAACACTTCCAGCCCCAGGAGGCTGCATCGTGCCCCCTCTCAGTCAGTAGCCCCTACCAAGGGTCACCACTGTTGTGTTTTCTATCACTATGGATTAGTTCTGCCTACTTTCAAACTTCAGAGAATGTGCACAGTGTGTTGTATTTTATGCCTGGCTTCTTCCCCTCAATATTATATCTGTGAGATTCACCCACGTCATCTGTGCCTCAGTAGTTCCTGCCTTTCGTTGCATATATTATTGCTTTGAGTGAATATACCACAACTTATTTATTCATTCTACTATTGATGGATACTGGGCTTGCTTTCAGTTTTTGGGTATTATGAATAAAGCTGCTGTGAACATTCTTTTTTTTAACCAAGATATAATTCACATACCATTAACATCACCCTTTTAAAGTATACAATTTAATGGTTTCTAGTATATTCACAGTGTTGTGCAACCATCACCATTACCTAATTCTAGAACATTTTTATCACTACAAAAGGAAAGCCTGTACCCATCAGCAGTCACTCCCCATTCCTCCCTCCCCTCTGGCAACCACTAGTCTACTTTCTGTCTCTATGGATTTGCCTATTCCGGACATTTCACATAAATACACTCATGTAATATGTGCCCTTCTGTGTCTGGCTTCCTTGCTGTGAACATTCTTATACATGTCTTTTTGGAGGCCAGAAGCACTCATTTCCATTGGGTAGATGGCCAGGAGTGGAATTTATGGGTCACAGGGTATGTATATGTTGGCTTCACCAGGAAATGGTAAACACTTTTTGTAAAAAGGGACCTACTTGCCCTCCACTGCCTGACTCTTGCCCCCTTCCTGAGAACGTGATGGTGTGAACCAGCCTTGGCCATGCAAATGAGGACAACTCTCTAATGGGTGGTGAAGCAGTAAGCTGGAAGGACCCTGAGTCCCTAGAGGATCTTATGAGCCCACCACTCTTGGCCCACTCACATCTGGACTGTTACATGTGAGGGAGAGAGAAACTTCTCATTCGTTTGAGCCATTGTATCATTGGGCTTCTTTTACAACAGCCTGTACTCTAACACACTAATAAAGGTACAGATAAAGGGTTATGAGATCTCAGGGTTAATTCCACAGAGGGAGAGGGTTTGGAAAGGCTTCACTGAGGTGGTAACATTTGAACTGGGCTTTGAAGGATGAGTAGAAGTTTGAGAGGAGAAAAGGGAACCGAAGAGCCTTCTTTGTGGCTGTGAGTAGATTCTAGGGGCATTTTCAGTCAGGTGTAACTGGAGCAGAGGTGTGAAAAGGACATTTTTCTTGCCTAGTATACAGTTCCTACTTCCTGAAAGGGCAGTACAACTTCCCTTCACAGGATCTCTTTTCCCCCTAAGCTCTAGTGGAAGGCACATGACCCACATTCAGCCAATCAAAGCAGTGCATTCTCCTGACCACATTAATAATGGTCATGTGACACAATCTAGGCCAATGAGAATCAGTCCTGGGACTTTTCCGAGAACCACTAAGGAATAAAGAGGCTTTCTCTACTAGAATTGCTAAGCAGGTAGGATGGAAACCCAGAGCTGCTGGGGCCAGCTTGTAAAGAAAGCCCACCCAAGAATAAAACTCATACATTGGAAAAGAGTAAAAAGAAAACTAAATGAGAAACGAATCCTAACTATTATTTGAGCAACAGGATCCAGCCTACCTAAAGCTACACCTGTACTTTTCCATTACATGAGCCAATGAGTCCCCTATTTTTTCTTTCTTTTTCTTTTTTGTGAGGAAGATCAGCCCTGAGCTAACATCTATGCCAATCCTCCTCTTTTTGCTGAGGAAGACTGGCCTTGAGCTAACATCTGTGCCCATCTTTCTCCACTTCATGTGGGACCCCGCCACAGCACGGCCTGACAAACGATGCATCGGTGCGCGCCCGGGATCCGAACCTGGGCTGCCAGCAGCGGAGCGCGTGCACTTAACCGCTACACCACGGGGCCGGCCTCCCCTATTTTTTCTTAAGCAACTTGGAGTTGGGTTTTCTGTCATCTGCAAGATGCACAGAGGACTGGGGAGGGAGGGGCTGGGAAAGTAGACTTGAGCCACGTTGTAAAGAGGGCCATGCTGTTTATTCTGTAGAAAATCATCACCACCCAACTCATGGAGTTTTAACCAAACACAGCAAAAAAGGAGAAGCCAAGAGGAATGGCTTAAAATGTAACAGGGCTGGGGTAGCAGTTAAGTGCGCACATTCTGCTTCGGTGGCCCAGGTTTCACAGGTTCAGATCCCAGGCGCAGACCTACGCTTCGTTTGTTGAGCCATGCTGTGGCGGCGTCCCATATAAAGTAGAGGAAGATGGGCAGGGATGTTAGGCCAGGGCCAATCTTCCTCAGCAAAAAGAGGAGGACTGGCATCGGATGTTAGCTCAGGGCTAATCTTCCTCACAAAAAAGTAACAGGGCTAGTGTTACATGGGAGGAGGCTCTGGCTCGGTGCTAGGCTGAACCAGGAAAGAGGGTCAGAGTGAAGTGATGGGATGTGCTTAGCAGCCCCCGTCAGGTCATGAGACCACACTGGATCTCTCTCTGGAAGAGAGTGGCAGTGATGTCTCTTGAGAGAGGAGATGGGACTTCTCTGAAGGGGGAAGATGGAAAGAACATAGGCTCTGGAGTCAGAATGTCTAGTGTTCACATCTTGGCTTGGCCAAACCTGGACTGAGCCACCTTTGCAAGATACTTCCTAATGTCTCTGAACCTTGCAGAATGGGGATACCTGGATCCAACCCTGGTTGTTGAGGATAAAATGACTGATGTCAAGAGAGCTCCCAGCACAATGCTGGGCATACAACGGGCCCTCAATAAATAGTTTGTTCCCTTGGGAGAGAACCCCTTTCCACTGGACCCCAGCTGGCACCAAGCATGTGGCAGGTGCTGGGAACCAGATCTTTCATCTGGTGCCTTGAAAAAGCCCTCCTAGGAATGTCACTACCACACAGCAGGGACTGAGGTCCCCTCCTGGGTTCATAGGGACCGGTGAGGAAGCTTCCTTCTCTTTCCTGTCCTTGCTTCCCCCACTTTCCCCTCAACCTCAAGCCCCAACAGGGAGGTGGGAGTTAGTAAGGTCAGCAGGGAGGGGTAAGTTCCCAGCTCCTACCCGTTCTTCTTGGGCAGGTAGGCCTCCATGTCAAAGAAGATGTTCTGCCGCTCCTTGATGTTGGCGCCCATCTGCTGAACGAGCTCTGCCTCCTCCCGACTGGCATGGCGCTTATACCTGTGGTCAGAGGTGTGGGCGTAGGAGAAGCAGGGGTGTTACTCAGACTGGAGGAAGAATCTGGAAGCTCTTGGCACTGCCCTCCCATCTTCCCGTCTCAATTCTTCTCACAACCTCGATTCTCCATCTGTACTCTCTGGCTTTGATGCTGGCTCCCTGCTAGCCTTGTGACCTTGGGAATGTCCTTTAACCTCTCTGCCTTATGTTCCACACCTGAAAAACAGGGCTAACATCAGGCCTACTTCACTGACAACACTGTTGTGAGGAGTAAGTGAGTAACTGTAACACATTTAGAATGATACTTGACACACAGCATGAGCTCAATGGATATCTACTGGCAATACTACTCATCTCACTATTCTAAAGGAATAACCTGAAGATTACTAAGGGGGCAGACAGGAGGGTGCTTTGAAAGTATAAGCAGTCAAACTGATCGAGGTCTGATTGTTATTCCTTGGTGATACTTAACTCTCAAAACTAGAAAAACAAGTCAGCAGACACACTCTCAGAAGAGTAGGGGTCCTCATGGGTCAACCTTCTAAGCCAGTGGTTCTCAAGTGGGAACACTTGGCAATGTCTGGGAAAATTTTGGTTGTCATGACAGGAGTGGAGGGTTCTACTGGCATCTAGTGGGTAGAGGCCAAGGATGCTGCTAAACATCCCACAATGAACAGGGCAGACCCCTGCAACAAAGAATTATCAGTAGTTCCAAGGTTGAAAAACCCTAGACAGATAAAAGACTCTTGAGTCTTGCCGTTAGTAAGATGTGTTTTTCCAAGAAGGGTGGCAATGTCATTACATGGAACCACCCACACTCTACCCCACAACTAATGGGCTTCCATTTACAAAATGGTCAGCCGAGGTTAGGGGTATAATCAGTAACCTTCCCAAAAATTGACCACAAGAGAAGGGAAGAACTGACCAGGAGTCACACACTCTGGAATGGAGGCCCAGCTAAGTGGTCTGGGACAAGCCACTCAGAGCCTTAGTCTCCCTGCCTCCCCAGAGGGTCACAGCATCCACTGAACCCCTTCACCTACAGGGGATGAAGGCACTTCCCAAATCATGAAGACATGAGGATCGGGAAGTGAACATGTGATCCGGGCCTCAGGAACTGAACTAAGTCATGAGCTCAAGTACGTCCCCACCAAGGATGCCAGACTTCTTACCCCTACACCGGAGACCCTGGTGGGGTGAGCTCCCACACCCATGACAAGGATATTTACTGTTTACCTGTCCAGCACGACTTTTTTGTTTTTTTGGTGAGGAAGATCAATCCTGAGCTAACATCCATGCCAATCCTTCTCTTTTTGCTGAGGAAGACTGGCTCTGAGCTAACATCTATTGCCCATCCTCCTCCTTTTTTTTTTTTCCCCCAAAGCCCCAGTAGATAGTTGTACGTCATAGTTGCACAGCCTTCTAGTTGCTGTATGTGGGACGCGGCCTCAGCATGGCCGGAGAAGCGGTGCGTCGGTGCGTGCCCGGGATCCGAACCCGGGCCGCCAGTAGCAGAGTGCGCGCACTTAACCGCTAAGCCATGGGGCCGGCCCTAGCACGACTTCTTATAACACTTTCCTCTGGGGAACTACCTCTCATCCTCTTCCCCACCTCCATATGGTTCAACTAGGACTGTCCCATCCCCCAGGTCCAGAAACTAAGCATATGACCTAGTCTTGCCTAGAGTCTCAGTGATTGGTTCAAAGATGGACACGTGACCAATTCCAGCCAATGAGGATCACACCCAGAACTCCTGACAAGTTCTCATTCTGCTGGGGTGGCCAAGCCAGTAGGAAGCAAGGCTAAAGGATATAAGCCTTGCACTGCTGGTGGCCATGTCATTGACCATGAGTGGACGGTCAGCCTGAGAGTGAAGCCAATCTAGAGGAAGGCAGAATTTAGAGGACAAAACCAGATTCCTAAAAACACTCTTTGACCCCTGGACCCAGTGATACCTGAAGCCACTCCTGGTTTTTTTCCATTAAAATTCCCATTCTCTGCTCAAGCCAGTTTTGAGTTGGGTTTCTGACCCTTAAAGTCAGGGGAGCCTTTGAGTTGCAGCCCCGCCTACCTCTGAAGTGTGTGCTTCAAGTCCTTCAGTCGCGTCTTCTGCTTGTTGATGGAGGTGCTACAGGAAGTCTGGAGCGCGGTCAGCTCCTCCAGCTTCTGCCTGTAGATCCTGTGAGCTTCCTGAGGGATGGAGAGTCCAGGCAGGGTGTATGGGAGAATGTGAACAGGTCATTTTTCATAGTTTGCTTGCGTCAGGGGACGTGACTACAGAGGTCACAAGTGGACAGCTAAGACAATATAACTACAACTATCAAAGATGTGGCTTAGAAAATTGAGACTGGAATTGGGAAAGGCAGCACAGCACAGCATTTGTGTAATAAGAAACTGCTGTTTTTTTCCTGCCCAGGTTCCATCCTTCTTGATGGTAACAGCAACCAAATATGCCTTTGAGGGGCCACCTCTTGTCAATTCTTAGTCCAGATGGTTTGAGTAGAGCTAACAGTCCCCACACCAAGAGTGGTCATGTGATCCAGGCCTAACCAATCAGAATCCTCCAATTCCCTATTTATTGATTGGTTTGAACATGGACACACGGCTCAAATTGGGCCAATAAGAGTCAGTTCTGGGAAGTCCGCTGGAAGTATTGGTTTCGGGATGCCTTTTTTCTCCTGGGTTTGCTAATCTAGTAGAAGGTACACCCTGGGGCTGCTGAGTGAGGAGAGCCTGCCTAAGAATGAAGCCAAACAGGAAAACAGAATTGAGACATGGTAAGAGACAGAATTCTCACAGCATCATTTCAGCCCTTGGACCTGACCAAGTCTGAATGTAATGCTATCCAATACTCTTGGCTATATGAATTAATAAATTCCTTCTCACTTAGGCCAGTTTGAGTTGGGTTTCTGATCATGGCAATGAAGAGAATTCTTGTTAAGTCAATTAAGAAAAGGACATACCTCTTCCCTTAAAGCCAACCCTCCCCACCCCAGACACAGTCACTCCAATGAACTCAGTATCTCATTCCTGGAATTAACCATTCCGGGCCACAAGGCCAGGAGAAATACAAGAGACTTCACCCCAATGCTGGGACAATGGAACACAGTAACGTCTCGACATTGCAGCCATAGCTCACCACCCCCCAAATAACGCCATAGGCAGGAAAACAACTCCTTCCCTCTAGCGTTCTGATCATCTAAGACAAATACCAACAATTTGGAGAAACAATATGGGGGATGGAAACTATGAAATTAAAAACAATAATCTAATGAACATATTGAAAGTGGCTGTTTCCTTGGCTGGTGGAGAAATGTATTTAGCAGAAGGAGAGACAAAGAGGATGGTCAGAAACAGTGAGGCCAGAGCCTGAAGCCTCATGCCTGCCAAGCGGGGTCCCTAGATATGAAGGCTAAGGCAGAAAATAAGGAAGAAGTGAAGGCAATGCAGTGAATAGATAATTAGAAGCAACAGTGAGGAATACTGTGAGCAAGTCTCCCTTGGCCCCCAGATGAGAGGGCTCAGTCCCCCAGATCCATGCAGTATCGTCACTCTCTCCTTCCTGGGCCCCTAGGAGGAAATTGTGTCTCTTTTTTATTTAATTTTTTGTTTTTAAATAACTTCAAACTTGCAGAAGCCTTGTAAGAAGAGTACAAAAAACTCCCCTATACCCTTCGCCCGGATTCACCAATTGTTAGCATTATGCCATATTTGCTTTATCTCCCGTTTGTGTGTGTGTGTCTGTGTGTGTGTGTGTCTGTGTGTGTGTTCTTTTTCTACATCAGGCATCGGTAAACTACAGACTGCAGGCTAGATCTGGCCGCCTGATTTTGTATGGGCAATAAGCTAGAAACAGTTTTTGCATGGTTGAAAAAAATCAAAAGAATATTTCATGACATGTGAAAAGTATATGAAAATGAAATTTCAGTATCCATAAATAAACTTCACTGGAGCACAGCCACGCCCTTTCATTTACATACTGTCTGAGGCTGCTCTGGCACTAGACAGCAGAGTGAGCAGTTATGACAGAGACCATACGGCCCGCACAGCCTAGAATCCTCACTACTTGGCCTTTTTGCCAAAAAAGTTTGCCTACTCCTGTTCTAAACCATTTGGGAGTTAGTTGCAGACAACATGCTTCTTTACTCCTAAATACTTCAGTGTGTGTTTCCTAAGAACAATGACATTCTCTTATATATCCACAGTACGCTATCAAATACAGAACATGTAACCTCGATACAATACAGGATTATGACCTCAAATACCATCCAGATGCAAATTTTGCTAACTGTCCCTTTACGGCAGTTTCCCCCCAGATCCTGGACGCAATTCAGTCTCCTGCCCTGTAATACTGCTCCTCTTTAGTCTCCTTTAGTCTAGAACAGCTGCTCAACTTTTCTTTGTCTTTCATGACATCAACATTTTTAAAGAGTTCAGTCCAGTTGTTTTGGAGAATGTCCCTCCACCTGGGTTTATCTGATATTTCTTTGGGACTGGATTCTGGTTATGCATTTGGGGCAGAAATGCCACTGAAGTGACACTGTGTCTTTCTCGGCATCTCCCATCAGGAAGGACACGGTGTCCATGATGTTAACTTTGATTGTTTAGAAAAGGCGGTGTCTACCCACTTTCTCCGTTGTACAGTGACGGGCTTTCTGTTTTTAATTAATAAATAATCTGTGGAAAGAGAGGCTGTGTTTTAATCTTTCGAATTCTTCAGTGCCAAAACAGCCCTCTATGTTCAACTAATATCTGCTGGTGATAAAGGAAACCCTCCAGAACTGGATGGAGAGATAGGGGCAGAGAGACCCTGACTAGACTACACAGCCTTCGAGAAGGTAGGGCCTTGGGACCAAGAGTCTCAGCAATGACAGCTGAGGCTCCCGGAGGATAAAGGGCCAGGCTGCCTCCTGGCGCTCTTTGGTGTTGGGTCCTACGACAGAAAGACAGGACCAAGAATGCAGCATTGGCAGCCAGATGCTCACCAGGCCCTCTTCAGTTTGCATTAATATTTAATTTCACAACTAAAATGTGAAGACATTATCCTCGTTAAAAATTAAAACAGGGCTGGCCCCGTGGCTTAGCGGTTAAGCACGCGCGCTCTGCTACCGGCGGCCCGGGTTCGGATCCTGGGCGCGCACCGATGCACCGCTTCTCCAGCCATGCTGAGGCCGCATGCCACATACAGCAACTAGAAGAATGTGCAACTATGACATACAACTATCTACTGGGGCTGTGGGGAAAAAAAGGAGGAGGACTGGCAATAGATGTGAGCTCAGAGCCGGTCTTCCTCAGCAAAAAGAGGAGGATTAGCACGCATGTTAGCTCAGGGCTGATCTTCCTCACAAAAATAAATAAATAAATAAAAATAAAACAATACAGCTATGGCTAGAGTCAGCTTTGAATATACCCTTACCCTATATTCCCCCTTCCCCAGAAGTAACCATCATTACCAGTTTCTTCTAGACCTTTTTCTATGTATTCTTCCAGACTGTATTCCATCTATCTATGTATAGTCATGCACCACATACCAACACTTCAGTCAATGACGAACCACATACACAACAGTGGTCCCAAAAGATTAGTACATATAGCTTAGGTGGTAGTAGGCTATACCATCTAGGTTTGTGTAAGCACTCTCTATGATGTTCGCACAGTGATGAAATCACCTGACGCATTTCTCTGAATGTATCTCCACTGTTAAGCAACGCATGATTGTATATGTCTATTCTACAAAGACCTATTTCTATGTATACACACACAAATATATATGAAAAATACACACTGTTGCAAAAACTAATTGTTCCTAATACTTATTCTCCTCTTCCTTTTAGTAAGAGGACCCACTGAGTTGTAGCTGGGCACATGGCTGCCCAGCTATAGATGACATTTCCCACCCTCCCTTGCAGCTAAGTGTAGTGGTATGACTAAGAGTTAGTCAATGGGACGCAAGCAGAAGTGACGTGTGTAAGTTCTGAACCACATTTTTATAAGGAACTGCTTGCCCTCCACTCTCTTTCCTTGGCTGGGATATGGCAACAACGGGTCCAGTTGTCTTGAAACCAGAGGTGACATGATGCAAATGGAAAAGCCCACTGTCCCTTCCCCAGCCAAACCAACTTGGATATTGAGTGACCTCATGTGACAGAGCTTCTCACCTGTGATGGTGTTAAAACATGATCATCCATCCTGTAGCACTCCTTACATAGAGAGGCAGGGGTCTCTGTTCCCTCCCCTTAAATATAGGTAGTTTTGACGAATAAAATACGGCAGAAGTGACTAAAATTTCTGAGAAAAAGTGTGGAAGGCCATGTACCTTCTCCCTTACTTGCTGGAACATTCGCTCTTGGAACAAAAAGTTCAACTACCCTGAGGCCACCGCGCTGTGTGGAAACCCTAACCACAAAGAGAAGTCACGTGTAGGCACTCCGATCAACAGTCCCAACTAAGACAAACCTTGTCATTCCAGCTCAGGCACCAAAGGGGTAAAGAAACCTCCAGATGATTCTAGCCCCCAGCCATGTGAGTTACTCCCAGCCATTCAAGTCTTCCCAGCTAAGGCCTCTAACAGCATAGGGCACAGTCAAGCCATCCAGACTATGCCGTGCCTAAACTGCTGACTCACAGAATCCATGAGCAAAATGAGATTATTGTTGTTTTATGCAGCAACAGATGACTGGAACACCACTCACCCTGGACCACACCTCCTTCTGGACTGTTATGTGAGAAAGAAAAAAGCTACTTCATTTAAGCCTTTTTATTTGGGGATCTCTTTGTTATAACAGCATAGCTTATACCCTAAAGCACATACTTTTAATTTTTAAAAATATATTAATAGTATCAGAGTATACATATGATTCCACAACTTTCTTTTCTCACTCAACAATATGTCTTGAAGATCTACCTACCTAAGAATATAGAGATATACTTCATTCTTTGTAGCGCTGTGCAGTATTTCATGCTCTGGACATAATACAGTTTATTTGCCATTTCCCTATTGCTGGTTGTTGAGGTTGTTTCCAGTCTCCGACTATAATGAACAATGCAACATTGAATAATATCCTTGCACTGCCTCCCTGGGCACATACGCAATTATTTTTCTGGGGAAGAGCAGTGGAATTGCTGGGTCAGAGGGTACACGCTTGTTTTTAGTTTTAATAGATCTTGGCAAACGGCCCACAAAGTGGCTG